AATTATGTTGTGTTGTGTTGGCCGGCTGACAAGGCAGGCTCTGGCAAAGTCGGGAGGCACCTCTGAGTAAACCACAGGCTCCCCTAGCTGTCCTGGCACCCCCAGCCCTCTCCCAGGTCCAAGTCCCTCCCCTGATGTCCCCAGGCTGACCAGTACACGACCCTAACATCTCTGCCCGTCTCTGGCTGGCCTGTCTGCGTCACTCCTGAGGGTGAGGACGGTCGGGCCTCCTGGCAGAGGTCACAGAGCAAGCCCTTCCATCAACAAAGCAGGGGATCACCACTGTTAAAGCACCCGAGGAGGCTCCAGCGAGAGGCCCCCCCACAGCAGCACTGCCGGGAGCCTGGGGGCAGCGTGGGGCGCCTCGGAGCTCTCCCAAACCTGAGCAGGCACAAGCCCAGGGGAGCCCCCGAAGTCAGCCCTGGCTGGAAGGAGGGGCACCTGCGACGCGTCCCACAGCAGCAGGCACCGAGGGGACTCCCCCCGCAGGGGCAGGTCCCAGGAGCTGGTTCGGGATCACCGCTGGGGACGGCGCGGCAATGCCCACAGCCTAACCGTCCACGTCCACGCGAGGCGCCCTGCTCGCCTCCGCCCTACATGGAGACCCTCTCCCCGCAAAGACGACCAGATCACAGACTTCACCCGCTTCCTGTGGCCCTGGCACTAATCCCCGGCCTCGGGGTGTGTGTGGGGGCGGGATGCTCCAGGGTCGGGGCCCCCGGATCGCTCCCTCTCCCACTCAGCTCAGCCAACCTCCCAGACGCCCCCCACGGCCGGGACCTCGCCGCGAGGGCCCCCCAACCAAGGCCTCCCGGGGAAGCCGAAGCCGGCAGGCCGGCGACCGGACAGCGCAGAAGGCAAAGTCCCCTTCCGGCCGCGCCCCCGACGCGCGGCCCGGCGCACCTGGCGCAGCTCCTCGCGGCACACGGCGCAGTACCGCTGCTCGCACAGCACCCGCATCTTGGTGGAGCAGCGGTAGCACACCGGGTGGTCGCAGCGGCCCAGCGCCGTGGCCTCCAGGTCCCCGCAGCACAGCACGCAGCTCCCGCCGCCGCGTTCGGGCGCCGCCGCCGCATCCGCGGCCGCACGCCGGGCCTCGGCGCCCGCCGCCGCCGCCATGGTCCGGGCTCCGGCCCCCTCCCGGCCGGCGCGGCTGGCCTCCCGGCGGCCCGCCCCTTCCGGGCGACGTCACCGGGCCGCCCAGCAACGGCCCCGCCCGGCGGAAGTGGGCGCCGCGGCTTCCGTCCAGGCGGGGCGGCGCGCCTGCCGGGAGTGGGCGCCGAGTGTCGCTCGTGTCCAGCGCGGCGTGCGTGGCAGCGGGCGGTCCTTGTGGATAGGGACCCGAGCCCCTGGGCGGCGGCCTGGGCGGCGGCCTGGGCGGCGGGCAGGGGTCCCCCACCCAGGGTATGCCACTGTGAGGGGGGCTAGGCCGGCTCAGGACCCCCTCCCGCTCGAGGGAGGCTGGCGTGGATCTGAGGCCTCCCGGGAAACGGGGCAGTGACGCACCCCACGGCTTGGGCCCATGCCGCCCACTTCCATGCTGGTGACACTGGTAGGCCCACTGAAGCCCCCACCTCGAGTAAAGCAGGGGTCGCCACCAGTTAGACCTGGGTGGGGGTGCAGCTGGCAGCTGCGCATGCACAAAACCGCGCCGCAAAGGCAGTGAAAGAATTTAAGGTCGGTTTGTTTATTTGAAAGGCACAGTGACAGGGAGAGATAGTCAGGAGCCAGAAGCTTCCTCCTGTCTCCCACGGAGGGGTGCAGGATCCCACACACTTAGGCCATTCGTCACTGCCTTCCCAGTGCATCGGCAGGGACCTGGGTTGGAAGTGGCGCAGGTGCCTGCTCTACCGGCTACACCATTCGCCCACCAGGCCAGGAACGGAATGTTAGGGCCGACACGGAGAGCTGGACCAGGTGAGGCAACTGGCAAAAGGTGCAAGTTCGGGGAGGTGGAAGATGTCCAGGATCCTGGGAGCTCTCGGGGGTGACCGCGATCGGGGCACAGCACTGGGAGCCAACCCCGGGGCAGGAGGTCCGAGGGTGTTCTGCAGGAAAAGCTGACCCAGGCCCAGGAGGAGACCCACACGCCAGGAGGGAATGGGAGCTTCCTCCAGCAGAACCTCCGGGAGAAGAACTCTGAGGCACCTGCTCCCACAGAAAGGACTCTTGGGCTCCCTGAGGCGAGAGCAGGCTACCCTGGACAGCAGTAACAGCTGTGGAAGTCAGAACTGAGGGCTCGGACACCATAATGCTGGCTTAAACTCCTTTAATTAAAACACTTTTCTGAAAGGCAGAGTGAGAGAGCCGTCCCCTACGGGCTGGTGCCCTGCCCTGAGACCACAGCAGCCGGGGCTGGGGTGGGAGAGCAGCCCTGCTCTGCCGCCTCCAGTTCTGATGCCTGTCCTGCCTGCTCCACCTCTGATCCAGCTCCCTGCTCGTGGCCCACTCCTGTGGGAGACCAGACGGAGTTCTGGCTTCAGCCTGGCCAGCCGCAGCCGTGTGGCAGCCATGGAGTGTAGACCAGTGAACGGAGCTCTCACTCTCCCCGCTAGCACTCTACCCTTGCATACATGAGCTGGGCTGGCGTGGTGCCACGGTGGGGGAGACATGCGACTGAGGGTGGCACCCTGGGCCACAAGTTTGCCCCCTAGTGTGCGAGCCCAGCTCCAGCCCCACCAGTGGGAGCCACTGGGTGTTCCCGACAACACAGGTAAGGAAGGCAGGGACAGCACTTACAGCCGGCACAGGGGGTCTCAGTCATGGCTGCTCTTGCCCAACCCAAGAGATGTGCGGAAGTGTCCGAGGATGGCTGTGATGAGCCAGGCCCCGAGCAGTGTCCACCATAGGTGTCCAGGAACTGGCGGCCGCCCATCCCCCTTGCTTGAGGCCCCATTCATCCACGCTGAGAATTTCTGATGGGCTGGCAGGGCAGTCGCGAAGCTGGGCGTGCTCTCCGTCTTGAGCTGGGCATTGAGCACAGGGTATGCACCGGTGGCAGCTGCGTACGTGTCCAAACGTGCTCCCCTCACTGGACGCAGCCTCCCACGGCAGCCCCGGCTGGCTCCAGCTGACGGGGAGGCCAGGTGTCTCCACACAAAGAAAATTGTACCCCAGTATCAAGTGAGGAGAGCTAGAAGTGGCTGTAGTAAGGCCTTGTAGTGCCCAGCACGAGGGGGGCACTTGGACAGGCCACTGCGACCCGTGTCCCACCGTCTCCACTCGCGGGCTCCGCTTCCTGTGACAGGCTCAAGTCAGTGGATGCCTGCCATTCGCACAGGGGGCCTGCGCTCCCAGCGTTTCTGCCTCGCCCAGCCCCAGCCATTCCAGTGGGGCAACAGTGAGAGCTGTTTCTCTCTGTCTCTCAAACACATTTTTAAAACAACAGAACCAGGGCCCAGTGTGGTAGCCTAGTGGCTAAAGTCCTCACCTTGTATGTGCCAGGATCCCATGTGGATGCCAGTTCATGTCCCGGCAGCTCCACTGCCCATCCAGCTCCCTGCCTGTGGCCTGGGAAAGCAGTCAAGGACAGCCCAAAGCTTTGGGACCCTGTACCCGTGTGGGAGACCTGGAGGGGCTCCTGGCTTTGGATCAGCTCAGCCATTGCAGCCACTTAGTGAGTGAATTCTCTGTATCTCCTCTCTGTAAAGTCTGACTTTCCAATAAAAATAAATCTTTTAACCCCCCCCCCACACACACACAGGTCCTGTGGTTGGCATCGTGGCATAGCAGGTTAAGCCACTGCTAGAGATTGGAGGGCAGTTCAAGCCCCAGGGGCTCTACTTCCCATTTCAGCTCCCAGTTAATGCACTGGGAAGGCAAGGGAAAATGGCCCCCCATGAGGGAGGCCAGGGTGGAGTTCAGCCTGCTGGATTTGGCCCAGGCCAGCCTCTCTGCCTTCACAGCCTGGGAGCCAGCAGGTGGAGGGCCTCTGCTCCTCTCCACAACCGCCCTTCTCCGTCTGTCCCTCTGCCTTTTAAACATGGCGAGAGGTGAGGCCGAGATGAGGATTCTTATGAGGGTTTTGCAGTCCTCTGCTGCAGAAGCTGGACTCCAGGAGCCCTGGCTGGGGGTGGGGGACGGAACAGCCCCTGTGCTGCTCCTCTGGCCTTGGGATCCCTCACCCCAACGGGGCAGGTTCTCCAGGCAGCCTGGCTTCCGGCGCCATGGGTTCCGTGCCTGCCTCCTGCTTTTTATCTGCTGGGGCCACAGCCCTGAGGCAGACCCCAGTGTCTGGTATCTTGGCTCTGGAGGGGTGGAGGGGTGGTGGCATCCCAACCCAGTAACACTGCTGCTCTTGCTTGTTCTAGACTCCCAGGCCCATCACAGACGCCCACTGCCCACTTGGAAGGAGTGCATCAGGCCTCAGTGCCTCTTCTGAGGGCTGCAGTCCCCAGGCCACACCTGCACTCAGCCAGTGGTGAAGGCCCCAGGGGACTTGAAGAGCAGCCAGACCCAGCCCTGAGTCGTGCTGTCGTGCCCGCCCACCACACACTCCAGGCGGCTCTCCCGACCAAGGGGCCCCCTGGGGGTGCGGCTGGGATGGCTCACTGGCAGGCTGCCTGGTCCCCGTGGTCCTCCAGACCCTGTGGCTCACCCCCGCCTGGGCCTCAGGGGCTCCTGCCGAGAGCGCCCCGCCTGACAGCAGACAGGTGGGGGTCCACAGCAGTGCCCCGCCCCCACCAGCCCCGCAGACCTGTGATTGTCTGTGGCCTCTGAGGGGTGCTGCCAGGCTGCCAGACCTCAGGACCTGTGCTTCCCTGCCATCCTTCCACTAGGCTCTTGGGGGGATGGTCCAGGAGTGCAGCCCTACACGCAGCTGCACAGGATCTGGGACCCACTCAGCTCCAGGGGTAACGGCCCATAGCCCCGGTACCTCCTAGGGGCCCCATCAGACTGACTTCTCAGTACTGGGGACACTAGGGGTGGCTGTGGGGAGGGCTGAGAGTCAGGAGTGAGGATCTCAGACCCTGCCCCTCCCCCAGAGAGCGTGAGCTGTGATGGCCCCAGGGGCCACCCACTGCAGCAGCGTCCTGAAGAAGGTTGAGGAGCTGGCCCTGGCCATGGAGAAGGAAGATAAGAGCGTTCAAGACACGGAGGTGGCCAGCACGGGGCCTAGCTGGACGGATGGACAAGTGGCCTTGGGGACCACAGCCAGAGAGATGCAGGACAGAAGGTGGGCAGGGCCATGGCTAAGTTGCTCAGGGGCTGCACCTTTGTCCTTGAGCTGGGAGGGTCACTGAGGGGCCACAGTTTCCAAAGGAAAGACCTAGAGGAGGGCACACCCAGGGCACACTTCCAGCTTTCCTGTCCCTGGGTTGGTACCTGCAGGAGCCCTGAGTCTGGAGGCTGCGTTTGTCCCCTCCACCCCTCCACCTGCGGCTCCGGACGCCTCCCGCGGGAAGGCCCCTGCAGACCGTCCAGGCCGCTCCCACGAGGCGCCCTGAGTCGTCCTGCTCCACCCCTCCCACCACCTCGGAGGACCCCAGGGCCCCGCGGGGGCGGTCTGGGGCGGGGCGACCGAGTGGTTATAGCCGGACCCGCTCGCGGGCCACCAAACGCCTCTCGCCTCTCACCTGCAGCTCCCGACTCAGCCCAGCGCGCAGACCCAGCCCCGCTGGTTGCTGGCCCGCCCAGTCGGGCGGCCGTGGACACAAGCGCCCTGGCGTGGGGCCCGGGAGTGCGCACCCCGGCGCGGGGTCCTGGGGCTAGCCGGCGGCTTCTGCCGCTGCTGCTGCTCCTGCTGCCGCTGCCCACGGGCGCCTGGTACAAGCACGTGGCGAGTCCGCGCTACCACACGGTGGGCCGCGCGGCCGGCCTGCTCATGGGGCTGCGCCGCTCGCCCTACGTGTGGCGTCGCGCGCTGCCCGCGGCCGCCAGGACCCCGGCTTGGGACGCGCTCGCCCCGGCGCCCGCCGCGCGCAATGCTCTTCTGCTTTCCCCGGGGCTTCGGGAGCGGCGGGAGGCGCCACGCTGGAGCTCCGCGGCTGCGCGCCCCGTCCATGCGCTCCGCAGCCCGTCCGCCCCGGAGGAGTTGCGGCTGGACCCGAGTTCAGCGGAGCCCGCCAGGTACGTGAGGGAACGGAGAAGCCAGGGCTTCCCGGGAGGTGCAGGCGGGGGGCGCGCGACCCACACCTGGTGAGCCCCTCAACCCCGTCCCGTACACCCGAGGGGCGCACCGCCGATCCCTAACAGTAGCGCTGTGTTTTTAATAGACTCATCGGAGAGACGCCTCCAGCCCCGCCACGCTGGTACCTGCAGCGAAGACCCCTCGCCGGCCCCCGCCTGACCCCCGGACAGCCCTGAGCGCACCCGCCCCCGTGGCTCCCGCGTGCCCACAGCGCCGGCCCCGCCGGGCTGTGCGGTCAATAAAACCCGCCTCTCTCGCTGCACCCCCGCGTGTGACCCCTCTCTTTGCTGTGTACTTTGCCGATGGGCTCCGGCCCGAAGTGCTGCGCCCACGCCCTGGCAAATGTCAGGAATCCCCTGGGCTCTCAGGAGGGGCGGGGCAGCGGGGAGCAATGAGGTCAGGCCAGGGCTCCGGGCGAGGTGACCCCACCGGCTCCTGTGAGGGAGGTGGAGAGGGACCCTGGGCCCTGTCTCAGCCTGGGGTGTGCAGGGAGGAAGAAGGGGCCAGCCGCGGACAATGACGCTGGAGCCCCGGATCCTGGGCTCAGGCAGCCCACCTTGCGTGTCTTGTCTCCCAACCCTCATTGCAGACCTGCACTCCTGGGAACACCTCCATTGACAGTCATGCTGTCCTGGGGCGGGGGGCGAGGGGCTCCCCTGCCCTCCTTGCCCTTCCCATTCTGCATTTGGTAACTGGCTCTGGCCTCTTACACACCTGGGCTCTGCCGTCTCCTTCAGCCGCCAGCTCAGGATGGTCTGGGTGCCCTCACCTCTCCCCTGCAGCGTCCCAGTTCCCAGAGCCGACCTGGATCTCAGCTGGCCAGGGTCAGCTCTCGGGCTGGGTCCCCATCTGTGCCCTGAGTCGACACAGTTTGTCACTCCCCCACCCGGCGTGGGGAGGACCGCAGGGTCCCAGGCCCACGTACAGGAGACCTCATCCACCCAGGGCTTGCCACGCCCGGTGCCGACTGGCCTCCATGTCTGATGAATACCGGGTTGAAGGGGGTCCCACTGGGGCTGGGGGCGGCCGCCGTCTCTGCCCGCTATCCCCCATGACACGTCTGGAGCACCATCGGCCCCCACCCCGCCGGGCCACGCGGGGCTGAGCCGAGGCGAGGCGACGCCCGCCAGGTGGCGCTGCGCGGCCGCGGCGCGGGGCTCAGGGCGCGCCCGCGCGTTTGCTGGCCGGGCCTGGTCCCCGCCGCCGTCCTCCTGGCCGTCCTCCTGGCCGGTCCTCCTGGCCGTCCTCCTGGCCGTCCTCCTGGCCAGGCCTGGTCCCCGCCGCCGTCCTCCTGGCCGGTCCTCCTGGCCGTCCTCCTGGCCGTCCTCCTGGCCGTCCTCCTGGCCGGTCCTCCTGGCCAGGCCTGGTCCCCGCCGCCGTCCTCCTGGCCGTCCTCCTGGCCGTCCTCCTGGCCGGTCCTCCTGGCCAGGCCTGGTCGCCGCCGCCGTCCTCCTGGCAGGTCCCCGGGCTGCCCGCGCGGCCTGCGTGCCCGCTCCAGTATCAGCTCTGGAGATACTGAGGCGTCCCTGAGGGGCACTCGGCCAGCCTGGGCCGGGGGCTCTGAGGGAAGACCCCACTTCTGCCGCCGGAGCCGCAGGGTAGTCCCCAGGGCTCTAGTCTCATCGTCTTGGTCCTTCTGGCTGGCTCCTTGCTGCTCAGTCATCCCACTGTGACCCGAGAGAACGCGGCACCTCACCTCCGTGGTGCTGACCTGCACCCTCAGAGACCCCACAGCTGGCCACCCTTGCCCAACTCAGTGACATGCAGCCGGGTCTTGGGCAGCAGAAAGCAGCAGGGGACCTGGAAGCTCTTTCCTGGATTGGAGGGAAGAGGGGGAGACCAGGATCCCCTGAGCTAGGGCGGCCACAGAGCAACAGCCCGGCTGTGCTGGGTGCTGGGCGAGGACTCGCCAGCTCCTCCCGGGATGTCTGTGGGTGGTGGGTGGTGGGATGCTGCCCTCTCAGCAGCTACAGGCAGGGACCGGGCAGAGGTGGTAGCTGGTCCAGGGCAGCCTCATTCAGGAGCTGCTGGGTGTGGGCAGGATGGGTGATGCCAGCAGCTGAGGCGTGGGCACCCAGGGGGCCATGGCTCAGGAGGCTGCCCAGGGGCGGGCCCTGTGCATGGTGGGGGCTGGAGAGCCCTGGCAGAGAGTCTTGCCGTCAGATCTGGCTGTGGGGGCTGAGCTGGGCCACCCTCTCCTGCTGCCCACATGGGCGGCTGTCTGGGCCACTTCTGCCCCACCCTGGGGAGACCGGTAAGTGCTGGGGTCCCTGCTGGCTTGGGGCAGACCTCAGCAGGGCTCTGTGGGGAAGGGTGTAGCATCAGTGCCTCCTGTCCCTGGGCCCATGGGGAGGAAGGGTTGCCGTTTGGTTAGGGGGCTGGAGGGACGCCCTGTGTGTGTGCTTGTGTGTGCCATGCTGACGGCTGCCCAGAGTTGCCCGGAGCACAGAGGCCAAAGCCCTGGAGCAGCTTATCTGAGGCCAGCAGGTTAACATAAAACACCCCCAACCCGCCGCGATACACAGCCAGTCCAGGCCCCAGTGCCCAGCGCAGAGCAGGAGGCTGGGTGACTATGCACCCAGTGCTCCATGTGCTGGCCTCCTTTGGTCTCCTGGCCGACCGTGGCGCTTTGCGTGGGACAAGGCAGCCCTGCTTGCTCAAGGCTCTAGGGAGCAGCACTGCGAGGGGCGAGGGAGGAGCAGCCTGGAGGAACGGCGGCAGGCCAGGGGACCCCATCTCACTTCCTCCTGCCTGCTGCCCGCTCCAAGAGCCTGCCCCGGTGGTGCCCCGCACAGAAAAGGCAGAGGTGCGGGGAGTCCTCGGGGCAGCCGGGCCCGAGGCAGGGCCGGCCGGGCGGGCGCAGCGTGGCCCCGGGGCGGGGGCGGGGAAGGGGCGGGAGCGGGGGCGGCGCCCCAGCCGGAGCAGAGCCGGAGCCGAGCCGGAGCCGAGCCGGAGCCCGAGGCGTCTGGAGCCGGGCGCAGCGCCGAGGCGGCCGCCCGTCCCCCCGCGCCAGCCCCGCGCCAGCCCCGCGCCCCGGCCTGCGGGCCCCGGAGCGCCGCGGCCAGCCCGCGCCCGGCCGGTGGTCAGCGGGCGCCATGGCCGCGCCGGAGCCGTTGCGGCCGCGCCTGTGCCGCCTGGTGCGCGGCGAGCAAGGCTACGGCTTCCACCTGCACGGCGAGAAGGGCCGCCGTGGGCAGTTCATCCGGCGCGTGGAGCCCGGCTCCCCCGCCGAGGCGGCCGCGCTGCGCGCAGGGGACCGGCTGGTCGAGGTCAACGGCGTCAACGTGGAGGGCGAGACGCACCACCAGGTGGGTGCGGGGCCGCGGGCGGGCCGGGGGAGGCTCCGCAGCTCTGGCAGGGGCCGCCCCCGCCTCCCCCATGGCAGGGAGGGGCCGCACTGCGGCCCTGGCCGGCCCTGGCCGCCCTCCGCTTTCCCCGAGTGTGAGTCGGGATGTGTGGGCGCACCCGCTGCTGGGGTCCTCGGTGGCGCCCGTGTCCCGTCCAGCTGGAGTGCCTGGTCCGGTGGGAGTTGATCCCTGGCCTTGCACCCCTCCAGTCCTTTCCCTCCTGCTGGGAACTCTGGCCACAAGGCCGCCTCACGTAGCTGGAGAGCGTTGCAGCCCTGGGCTGGGGGGCGTCTCCCTTGCACTGGCCTCACACCCTGGCTAGCCACCAGCCTCGGTGCAGACCTGCTGGGGCTGCTGGGCGGCCCTCACCCAGTGAGTCTGTGACCAGCCTACGTGGCCTGCTCGGGGCCTGGAGATGAATAGATTGATTTTGTGCTTGGCCAGGGCTTGAACCCCTGGCGGGTGTCTGCCCCAGGGTGCTCTATCCACTGCCTGCCTCACAGACAGAAAAGTGGCAGCAGGGTGGTCGGGACCAGAGGGCTTGGCTGACAGGTGTAGGGCCAGCTGAGCTGGCATGCAGGCCCTGTGTGTCAGTCATGGCCACCCTGTGCCCAGGCACACTCACTTGTTCAGGCCCCTGGGGCACTGGACCTACCCCAGAGCCTCCCACAGCCCCAGGAGGGGAGACAGGGGCTGCAGACCAGGGCGCTGAGGCCCAGAGCTTATCGTTAGGCAGGGAGACGGAGGGGGACAGGAAGGGGCTCCCAAGGAAGGGGCTGACGTTCAGGGTGCTCAGGTGCACGCTTCTGGCCATCTCTCACTGCTCAGGCCTTCCCAGGCCCTGCAGGCGACTGTCATGCCACACCTGTCCCCCAGGTGGACCTGCCCTCGGCCCTCCGTGCTGGGTGTGGGGTGTAGCTGCACGGAGGGCAATGCAGCCTCCACTGCCAAACCACACCCCGGAGAAAACTCCCTCTCCCGGAGCCAGACGGCGAGGCAGACTCCGAGACAGATGGTAGAGCTGACAGAGCGCACACACGCATATGCACGCACAAATGTTTGCACAACACACACAGGCCCGCACACACACACGGCTGTCCACACACACACACACGGCAGTTTATACACAGGCCCACACGAGCATACACACACACACACACACACACACACACACACACACACGGCTGTCCGCACACACACACGGCTGTCTATACACAGGCCCACACGAGCATACACACACACACACACACACACACACACGGCTGTCCATACACAGGCTCACACAAGCACACACGGCTGTCCATACACAGGCACACACACACACACACACGGCTGTCCATACACAGGCACACACACACACACACACACGGCTGTCCACACACAGGCACACACACACACACGGCTGTCCACACACACACACGGCTGTCTATACACAGGCCCACACGAGCATACACACACACACACACACACACGGCTGTCCACACACACACACGGCTGTCCATACATAGGCCCACACGAGCATACACACACACACACACACACACACACACGGCTGTCCATACACAGGCTCACACAAGCACACACACACGAACATGTGCACACACAGGCAGACTTGAATGTCTGAAGTCCATTTGGGTACAATCACCGTTACCTGCAGACTGGCTCTCCACCCCCTGGAGAAGGTTCTGGATGCAGAGCAAGGCCTGGAGTGATCCCAAGGCCCTGGTGAGGCCAGGCAGGCGGCTGCTGGAGCCTGGGGGTGGGGGGCGGAGCCGGCGGGTCCTGCGGGCCTCTGGATCCAGCCACCCACCCCGCTGGCAGTCACCGCCTGCCTGCCAGTGCACTGAGCCATCCATGTGCTGCCTGGGCCACCGGCCGCTGACCCGCCCCCATCCCTGCCTGGCCCAGGTGGTGCAGAGGATCAAGGCTGTAGAAGGCCACACCCGGCTGCTGGTGGTGGACAAGGACACAGACGAGGAGCTTCGCCGGCGGCAGCTGACCTGCACAGAGGACATGGCCCAGCGAGGCCTCCCGCCTGCGCGCGACCCCTGGGAGCCACGGCCGGACTGGGCACATGCAGGCAGCCTGAGCAGCGACGCTGGCCAGAAGGTATGGCCGCCCTTGCCTGCGGTGCTGCCCGGGCTTTGTGTCCGCCTGGGCTCTTTAGCAAGCCCCTCTCTGCCCCTGGGACTGCCCTCTGGCCGCTCAGGTGCCCGTGTTCCAAGCTGGGTGGGCACAGGATTGCTTAGTCCTCACCCTGACTCTGTCTTCATGCCTTTCCGCTAGCCGGCTTCCCACCTGGCCCAGGGAGGGGTCACTACCCAGGCCTTCCTTGCTGAGGGGCTGAGAAGCGTGAGCAGGGTCCCCGGGATGTGCAGGGATGCAGCAGGCCTAGCTGCTTTTGGTGTGTGGACTGTGGAGCCTGTGTGTGCTGTGAAGTCCTCTGGGGAGCTGGTCCAGCAGGTGGGCAGCGGGGTGAGGGGTAGACTCAGCTGGTGTGTGGGGGCTGGTTCACCCTCCCCCAGATATTAGGGAGGCCCCAGGAGACAGGTAGGTGACGAGGGGCACTCAGGGCATGCCCATGAGGCCAGGCTGTGTGTGGAGCCCGGGAAGGGATCTCCAGTGGGAGCCAGGCTTGGCCAAGAGCCTAACATGGGAACTGGGGCCCACTGCGTTCTCTGCCATTTGCACCAGGCTGTGAGGCTGGCCAGGGTCACAGGTGCCGGGCCCCAGAGTCTGGACCTTGGCCCCGGGGCTCCTGAGGGCAGAAGTCTCTCCAGGCAGTCCTGGTGACCGGCCACAGCATGCCAGGCGGGGCCTGTCCCGGCCGGGACCCTGCTGCTTTCCCAGGCACCCCTCCCTCTCCCAGGAGGAAGCCCCCCCACACCACACTCTGCATTTGTCCATTGATTTAGACACAAACGGCCCAGTTCACCTTCCTGTGGAAAAATCCGCCCTGGGCCTTGTCCGCAGGGTGGGGTGTCTGCGGCTCCCCCAGCACCCTGTCACAGCTTCCCCCTCCCTGGCTCTAGCTCTGGGGGCCACAGGAAGTCCTAGGAGCGGCTTCCTCTGGGCGGGTTCCTAGAGGAACAACAAGGTGGGGCCCAGCTGGCAGCAAGGAGGTCAGGGGCCAGGGTGTACCCCAGAAGCAGGCGCTGGGCCGCCTCTTCAGGGCTCAGGTGCTGGCCACCTGCGCTGGCTATAAGGGAGCCCAGCAGGCCATAGGGCTGTGCCGAGAGAGGGAGGGGAGGGTGACTGTGTGCTTGTCTTGGCGAGGAGTGGGGTGCCCCGTGGAGGGCACCCTCTCCTGGTGGAGGGACCCGTGCTTGGTGTGGAATCCCTTACCTCTGGAGGCTGGGAAGGCCCTGACTGTGAGCAGTGACTCAGCCCCGGGCCCCATTGGGCTGGGGGTGGCTGCAGCTGCAACACAGCTGGTGCTGACGCTAGGGACAGCCCCCGGACTGAGACAGGGCAGTCGGCGGTGCCAGGCCCTGGGTCGCAGCTCCTGCGCCCCGCCGTGCCTTTGCTTCCTGCTCGGAGGGTCTTGACAGGCACAGAGAAGGACAGTGAGGGGTAGTGGCTCTGAGGGCTGGCTGTCTGTTCCCCCAGGAGGCACAGCAGGCTGGTGTCTGGCTCTGCAGGGCTGGGACCTCTCCCTCGCCCCCCCGTCCCCGTAGCCCTGGGTCTGCAGGGCTGGGTCCTCTCCCTTGACCCCCCTGTCCCCATAGCCCTGGGTCTGCAGGGCTGGGTCCTGTCCCCTGCCCCCCTGTCCCCATAGCCCTGGGTCTGCAGGGCTGGGTCCTGTCCCCTGCCCCCCCGTCCCTGTAGCCCTGGGTTTGCAGGGCTGGGACCTCTCCCTCGCCCCCCTGTCCTCGTAGCCCTGGGTCTCAGAGCAGGGCAGGGCCTCCCAGCCGCTTCCTTCCTTCCTTTCTTGGGACGGAAACTGAGCTGGGTGGGGGGGGGCGTCCGACTGGAGCCTCCCTTAGCAGGGGAGGGGGCTCTGTCCCCACCCTGCTCCCCAAAGTGACTCAGCCCCCATGTCCCCACCCATCCCCGGGGAGCCGTGGGCCATGGAGGGGGTAGATAAGCGGGTGGCAGCCCAGCTGTGCTGAGAGCTCACGCCACTCCAGTGCAGCACCCTCAGCTGGCTGCGTCGGTCCACCCGCCCGCCTCCATGGCCCGCTCCGGGAATGCCACACCTCCGGGCCCCACTCCAGGAGCCCCTCCACGGGACCCCTCTCAGGGGCTTGTACAGGTCAGCTGGAGGCCCCCTGGCTGGCTTTGCTCCAGGGGGGTAGGGCCCCAGGCTGGGGGTTGGGGGTATGGGACCTCTGGGGAAGCCATTGGCCCCTGACAACAATGGTGGCCTTTCTCTACCAGGACTGGTGAGTCACTGTGAGGGGCAGTGTGGCCTGTGGACACCCCCAGACCAGCCTCTTTTCTGTTCAAGGCATGGCCAGGGGACGGGTTTGCCCAGCTCCACAGCTGGTGGGACTGGCCTGGAGCCTGTGGGAGCCGGCAGAAAGTGTGTGGGGCTGGGGCAAGGAGGAATGCGAGCCATGTGGCCTTGCTGTGGGCTGCGGCCGTGGCTCTTTGCCCACTGCACGAGGGCCCCTGCCAAGTTTGGAAGCCCTGGGCCCCAGGTTGCAGTTACCAGTCCCCCTTGGTTTGTACAGGGAGAGGCGGCTGCTCTGGACTGGGGTGTGAGGTTGGGGGCTGGCGGTGGGGAAGTGGCCAGAATGGCTTCAGCCAGGCCTTGTGGCTCCATACGCCCTGCCCAATCCTGTTTCCCATTTGCGAACCTCTGGCAAAGCCGGCCCTGCAGGCTGCTGCGGGGGCGTGGGGAAAGCCTGCAGGAGGCAGCAGAAGGGAGGCTCCAGGGGGCTGGCACACGCTGTGGCCACCCCATGCTGGCACCACCTGATGACCCCTGCCACTAGGGCCCGCGGCACATGGGCAAGCACTGCCACTCTGCCCCCTCCCAGGCTGACCCCTGGGCTGTGTTCTGGCCAACGGGGCCCTGACAGCACCTCTGTGGGGAGGTGCCCAGCTGTGCTCCAGAGCCCCACATCTGTGTCTGGGCCTGTGCCCTGGAGTTCTTGGTGCCTCCCACATCCCCCGCCAGCCCTGGTGTGATGGACATGGCCGCACAGCCATGGTGATGGGTGTTGAGGAAACTGCAGGCCGGGCCCAGGTGCAGGGAAGGGGTCCCGGTGGAGGGAGCAGCTAGGGACTGGGCTGGCAGTGTGGCGGACACGGACCCTTGCCGGCTCCTAGGGGAGTTGTTTGTAGTGAGCTTTTCTTAAAGATTTATTTTTTTTTATTATTTTGTTATTGGAAAGGCGGATATACAGAGAGGAGAGACAGAGAGGAAGATCTTCCATCCAATGATTCACTCCCCAAGTGAGCGCAACGGGTTGATACTATGCCGATCCGAAGCCAGGAGCCTCTTCCGGGTCTCCCACGCGGGTGCAGGTTCCCAAAGCTTTGGGCTGTCCTCAACTGCTTTCCCAGGCCACAAGCAGGGAGCTGGAAGGGAAGCGGGGCTGCCGGGATTAGAACCGGCGCCCATATGGGATCCCGGGCGTGCAAGGCGAGGACCTTTAACCACTTGCGCCACCGCGCCGGGCCCTGTAGTGAGCTTTTCAAGGCTGGGGGCCAAAGTGACCAGGCAGTGATCTGAACTGAGGGGGTCAGGTGCCTGAGAGCAGGTGCCTTCCCTCAGCACTGCCCCCAGCCTGGCTCAGGGCCCCCTGAGACAGGTGGGAGGGGCCCTGGGGAGCACCCCAGCCACTGGGACCTTCCGGAAACCTGAGCAGCCACCCGCCTGCTCCTTGCGGCCATAGCCACATGTAATTGGGCACCAGCGGCTGCTGGCCTTTCAGTGCCGTGGCTGGTCAGCCAGGGCCAGGTGAGGGACGCTGGGGCGCTGGGGTTTGGCCCTCCTGCTTTGGAGCCCTCCTGCGCGAGATGCCAGAGGTGAAGTGAAGTCAGGACCCTGGGCCATGGGAGTGGGGGGTGCTCCTGGGCCTCCAGCAGGGGAGCAGGCAGGCTCTGGTCTCTGCTCCTGTGGGCCCAGCAGAACCAGGTGAGTACAGGGGCGGGATTAGGGGCACAGTGTCCCCTGGAACCACAAGGGGACCTCACTGTTCTCACAGCCCCAGCCTGGGCACACGCAGCCCTCCAGCAGCCTAGAGTCTTGTGTCACCACTGCTGTAGGGCAGCCAAAACCATCCCTAGGCGGCTAGGACTGGAGACCCTGACACAACGTGGGGGGTTGGGCGGCAGGGGCACTGTGGTCAGTGTGTGGTTCAGGGTGACTGGTGGCAGAGCCCAACCTGGTGGTCCCTGCACCTACAGGATGCCAACGGGCCCCCGAGAGAGCTGCGTCCTCGGCTCTGTCACCTGCACAAGGGCCCGCAGGGCTACGGGTTTAATCTGCATAGTGACAAGTCTCGGCCCGGCCAGTACATTCGTTCCGTGGACCCAGGCTCGCCTGCCGCCCACTCCGGCCTCCGCCCCCAAGATCGGCTCATCGAGGTATTGAGCACCGCGGCTTTGGGACTGGGCGGGTGCTGGGTGGTCCTGCGTGTATGCAGATCTCAAGATCCTGATCTTATCCCTGTGCGTCAGTGCCTGAATCCATGTGTGTGTGTTTCTGCATCCTTGTGTGTGTGTGTCCCTGCATCCGTGTGTGTGTCCCTGCATCCGTGTGTGTGTGTCCCTGCATCCGTGTGTGTGTGTCCCTGCATCCGTGTGTGTGTCCCTGCATCCGTGTGTGTGTCCCTGCATCCGTGTGTGTGTGTGTCCCTGCATCCGTGTGTGTCACTGTATCCTTGTGTGTCCCTGCATCCGTGTGTGTGTGTCCCTGCATCCGTGTGTGTGTGTCCCTGCATCCGTGTGTCCCTGGTGTCCCTGCATCCGTGTGTGTGTGTCCCTGCATCCGTGTGTGTGTGTCCCTGCATCCGTGTGTGTGTCCCTGCATCCGTGTGTGTGTCCCTGCATCCGTGTGTGTCACTGTATCCTTGTGTGTCCCTGCATCTGTGTGTGTGTGTCCCTGCATCCGTGTGTGTGTGTCCCTGCATCCGTGTGTGTGTGTCCCTGCATCCGTGTGTGTGTCCCTGCATCCGTGTGTGTGTGTCCCTGCATCCGTGTGTGTGTGTCCCTGCATCCGTGTGTGTGTCCCTGCATCCTTGTGTGTCCCTGCATCCGTGTGTGTCCCTGCATCCGTGTGTGTGTGTCCCTGCATCCGTGTGTGTGTCCCTGCATCCGTGTGTGTGTCCCTGCATCTGTGTGTGTCCCTGCATCCGTGTGTGTGTGTCCCTGCATCCGTGTGTGTGTGTGTGTCCCTGCATCCGTGTGTGTGTGTCCCTGCATCCGTGTGTGTGTGTGTCCCTGCATCCGTGTGTGTGTCCCTGCATCCGTGTGTGTGTGTGTGTCCCTGCATCCTTGTGTGTGTGTGTGTGTCCCTGCATCCTTGTGTGTGTGTGTGTGTCCCTGCATCCGTGTGTGTGTGTGTGTCCCTGCATCCGTGTGTGTGTGTGTGTCCCTGCATCCGTGTGTGTGTGTGTCCCTGCATCCGTGTGTGTGTGTCCCTGCATCCGTGTGTGTGTGTGTGTCCCTGCATCCGTGTGTGTGTGTCCCTGCATCCGTGTGTGTGTGTGTGTGTCCCTGCATCCTTGTGTGTGTGTGTGTGTCCCTGCATCCGTGTGTGTGTGTGTGTCCCTGCATCCTTGTGTGTGTGTGTCCCTGCATCCGTGTGTGTGTGTGTGTGTCCCTGCATCCGTGTGTGTGTGTCCCTGCATCCGTGTGTGTGTCCCTGCATCTGTGTGTGTCCCTGCATCCGTGTGTGTGTGTGTGTCCCTGCATCCTTGTGTGTGTGTGTGTCCCTGCATCCGTGTGTGTGTGTGTGTCCCTGCATCCGTGTGTGTGTCTCCCTGCATCCGTGTGTGTGTGTGTCCCTGCATCCTTGTGTGTGTGTGTGTGTCCCTGCATCCGTGTGTGTGTGTGTGTGTCCCTGCATCCGTGTGTGTGTCCCTGCATCCGTGTGTGTCCCTGCATCCGTGTGTGTGTGTGTCCCTGCATCCGTGTGTGTGTGTGTGTCCCTGCATCCTTGTGTGTGTGTGTCCCTGCATCCGTGTGTGTGTGTGTGTGTCCCTGCATCCTTGTGTGTGTGTGTGTGTCCCTGCATCCTTGTGTGTCCCTGCATCCGTGTGTGTGTGTCCCTGCATCCGTGTGTGTGTCCCTGCATCTGTGTGTGTGTGTGTGTGTGTGTCCCTGCATCCGTGTGTGTGTGTCCCTGCATCCGTGTGTGTGTGTGTGTGTCCCTGCATCCGTGTGTGTGTGTGTGTGTCCCTGCATCCTTGTGTGTGTGTGTGTCCCTGCATCCGTGTGTGTGTGTGTGTGTCCCTGCATCCGTGTGTGTGTGTCCCTGCATCCGTGTGTGTCCCTGCATCCGTGTGTGTGTGTGTCCCTGCATCCTTGTGTGTGTGTGTGTCCCTGCATCCTTGTGTGTGTGTCCCTGCATCCTTGTGTGTGTGTGTGTCCCTGCATCCGTGTGTGTGTGTGTCCCTGCATCCTTGTGTGTGTGTGTGTGTCCCTGCATCCGTGTGTGTGTGTCCCTGCATCCTTGTGTGTGTGTGTGTCCCTGCATCCGTGTGTGTGTGTGTCCCTGCATCCTTGTGTGTGTGTGTGTGTCCCTGCATCCGTGTGTGTGTGTCCCTGCATCCTTGTGTGTGTGTGTGTGTCCCTGCATCCTTGTGTGTGTGTGTTCTGGGGCCCCTGCTGAAGGAGCTGCTGAGAACCTGAGCGGGTGAACACTCCTCTCCAGGCCTTGGCCGGTGGTGGCTTTGATGAATATTTGATGCCACACCCGGCTGGGCCTCCTGGGGGCTGGTGGGGCCCCTCAGGCTGCTGACCTGGGGTGCTGGCGGCGGCAGGTGAACGGGCAGAATGTGGAGGGGCTGCGGCACGCCGAGGTTGTGGCCAGCATCAAGGCCAAAGAGAGCGAGGCCCGGCTGCTGGTGGTGGATCCTGACACGGACGAGCACTTCAAACGGCTGCGGATCACACCCACCGAGGAGCATGTGGAAGGTGCGCTGCGTCCTGGGGTTGGTCAGGCATGGGAGGAGGGAGTGGGGGGCCGAGTGGCCACAGACATGCTGTCCCTGCAGGTCCACTGCCGTCACCGATCACCAATGGGACCAGTCCTGCCCAGGTGAGACTGGGCCAAGGAGACCTCTGGGGTACCTTGGGGCCCCCCAGACCTGATGGAGGGCTTCTCCCTGGAAATGTCTGCCTCTGGACGGGTGTGGCTGCACAACTTTTCCCCTGGCCCCATTGGTCCATCTGGCCCAGGGTTTAATGCCATCCTGGGCCAGCATTATAGCCTGGCCCTACAGGCTGGGGTGGGCACCTGGGGTCTCCCTGGCACATGAGCCTTCCAGTCCCCACCTGCCCAGGGCAGGTCAGGTGTGTGTGCCCTGCCTGGTGCTGTGATATGTGTGTGGGGATCCGTGTGCACCTGACTTCTCGGGGGGGCCTGCAGGTGGGGCCTGCGGAGCAGGCCTGCCCTTGGTTTCCCAGCTTAGCAGAGGTGGCCCGCCAGGTTTGGACAAGGACACCGAGGTAACCAGGCGTCCTCCCAGCTCTGCTTCTGTGGACACACACACACGGGTGCCAGGGGCCTCGGGAGATGTCAGCCTGGGAGGTGAGGAGGGGCCCCATCTGCAGGAAGGCCCTGCACGAGCAGCTCCCCCATGCCTCCCCAGGATGCCAGCAGTTGGAAGCGGGACCCATTCCAGGAGAGCGGCCTGCACCTGAGCCCTACGGCAGCCGAGGCCAAGGAGAAGGCCCGGGCCACACGGGTCAACAAACGGGCCCCGCAGATGGACTGGAACCGCAAACGTGAGATCTTTAGCAACTTCTGAACCCCCTGCCTGCTGGCCGGGCCCTGCCTCAGGAGAGCCACTGTGCTGCTGGGGACCGCGGGGAGTGGGGGCTGCTGGGAGGCTGCCTGCTGTGGCCAGGGCCTTTACTGCTGGGCCCGGGCCTGCCGACAGAAAGGAATTTGTGTTCTTGCTTTTTTCCCCCTCAAAAAAGTTCCTCAGCTCCACACATGTTTCCACTTAATACCAGAGCCCCTCCCCCACTCCCTCAGGATGCGCTCTCTAAATAATCGCAATAAAACCAACCTTCCTCTGCAATCCATTTTCTCCCTGCCCCCAGCAGCAGCCCTCCACAGGGGGGTCCTCAGGACTCCAGCACAGAGCCAAGTTGGGGGGTGGAAGGCTGTAGAAGCCAGAGGTGGCAGAGAGCTGCCCCTTCTGCCTTTCTCCCGGCCTGGAGAAGGCCACTGCTGGGTCAGCCCCATCCAGCTTCTCTGGGCTGCCCCTCTGCCCCACTCCGGGGCTGGGACACAATGACTCTGGGCTGTGGGCCTCAAAGATGGAGGACTTCCCCGCCCCCCAGGGGGGCACCCCTACCTTGCGCCTGCCCGGCGCCCACCCCTGCCATGCCTCTGCCCTGTTCTCCTGCCTCAGCGCCCGGAGCCCACTGGCCAGTACTACTGTCTGCCTTGTAAGCCATAGCGCATGTGCGCCCTCAGAATAAACAGGCCTGCCTGGAACTGTGGCGCCTCTGTCTTTTGTGAGCCTCTGCAGGCGGAGGGGGAAGGGAGCCCAAGCTGGGCTGTGCTGGGGGCCCCTGGAGCTGCCCCCATTGGCACGCACAGGTCCTGTTTGCTCTACCGAACGGGGCGTGCCTGGGTCCCTTGCCCACCTACTGGGCCTGGTGAAGCCTGGCCTCCCACCCCACCTGTGCTGTGACACCAGGGGGCCCTCCGTCCAGTGGGGTGATGTCACTGCCAGCCACGCACACAGGTAGACCCTGGTGCCCTACCAGGTCCCCCGAGGCCACATGGCTCTGTAAACTCAAGGCAGGGGTGATGGTGGGGGAGCCAGGGTCTGTGGTCAAGCCTAGGCCAGTAGTGGGGGCAGGGACGCTTCCCAGCAGCTACCGCCTCTTACTTCCTCCGTCCAGCTGAGACTGCCCAGCCCCACCCTGACCCTCCAGATGCGGGTGTATACACGTGACATGGGTGCATACAACAACTGGCCCTGCAGGGAGTGTCACCAGACCGCGGATACAAACAATCCCCACGCTTTATTAAACAGGCCCCCTGAGGAAGGGCACATCACGCACGGCCCTGGGCAGCCGGGCACAGCCTCCGGTTGAGGCAGGCCTGGCAGCGAGGGTGGACCGGCAGGCAGGTCTGTTGGCCAAAGCCCACCAGGAGCCCGTTGACCTCGCTCCACAGCTCCCTGTGGGGACAGAAGCTGGGTCAGTGCCAAGGAGGGACATAGGAGGGCCCTCGCACCCCTCCCCCGACAAAGCTGTTCTGGCCTCAGCCACACCTGGGCAGCCAGCTCTCCAGGGCGGCGCGAGTCTGCTCTGGGGACTTGGTCACCTCCTTCGTCCACCGCAGGCGGTTGGCGATTCTGTGCACGTGTGTGTCCACTGCTGCTTGGGATTGGGGTGGGGTGACCGGGAGGTCCCTGCACACAGGCAGGCTGAGCCCCCAATGGCCTCAGCCACTGCTCTTGGGCTGCCCCCAGAACTGCCTGTTCTGCATGGTGGGGGCATGGAGCTTTTCCTCTGGGCAGGGGTGTCTTCTCTGGGCTCTGCCTTCAACGGGAACAGCTAATTGGGGCCAAGTGCTGGGGGGGTAGGTAGACCCTCCACTGGAGATCCATAGGCCTGCCCTGCATGTCCTCACAGGGCACCCTTGTGCAGAGACCCAGGCCCGACAGCCTCACCTCCTGTGACTGAGGCTCCTCTTGGTCCAGAGGGCAGGTCTGAGGTCACTGCCCGCGTGGCCACTCAGCCAGGCTTGGGGTACAGAGCTGCCATCCCCCTGGGCAATGACCCCTGCTCCCTTATGCCCCATGGACTTTACATGGGTGCTGGCTGCCCTGACCAGCTGCAGTTCTGGCTCTGTCCCCTTCACTATTGGACAAAGCACAGACCAGAACTGTGTCAGTTCCTTCAGCCACGGCTCAGGACTGGGAGACATCTTGGCCTGTGTGTGCGGCCCCCATGGAACCACAGAGGTCCAGGCCGGCCAAGGTGCCTGGTTGGAGGAGCAGAGCTCAGCAGGAGTTCGAGAAGCAGCCTGGGGTCTTCTGGCAGGGTGTGGGGTCCCCAGAGAACAGCCTGACTCTCCCATCCAGGGCCTCTGCCGTTCTCAAGCCACCAGTCAGGGGCTGTTCCCCACAACCTTCCCTATCCCCACATAGCCCTCCTGGGACACGCGCAGCGGAGGACAGCTGCCCAGGTGAGCTCAGGAATCTGCCAAGAGTCTGGGCTGTGTCAGCTCAGGGCATCCCAGTGGGGGAGGGCACCTCCCCTGCTCTGGGGGGCCGCAACCTCTGCAGGAATCCAGGGGGCTGTCTTCCCCTACCTGCCTGCAAAGGACTCTGGGAGGGTTTCTGGGGAGAGAGCCTGTCCTTCCTGTGCCGACCAGGGAATGGGGCCTGGGCACTCCTCCCCAGCCGCTGCTCCACCTGCAGTGCCCACCTCCCCTCCCCCCACCAGTCTCCCTGGGCTTGTGACTGGTCAGCCCAGCAGCATGGACAGCTTTCTGACCCCCTGGGCTTTGTCATGAATGAGGTGGCTGGAATTGAAGTCAGGGTCGTGAGGACAAGCCCCCCACCTCCCCAAGCAGGCAGTGGGCCCAGGGCAACGCCTCCCCGTTCACTGGCCTAGGCTACCCACCGATGCCCGACACGGTGCCCCAGGCGATAGCCATGGCCAGGTGGGCCATCTTGGGCCCGACGCCCGGCAGGGCCACCAGTTCTGCCACGGAGGCTGGGATGTCTCCATTATAGCGCTGCCGCAGGATGGCGCTGGTCTGCTTAATGTACTTCACCTTGCTCTGAAAGATGCAGATGTGAGCAGAGCTTGAACTGAGGAGAGGTGTTGCCACCTGCTTGCCTTGCCATGGGCAGCAAGAGGCCCCAAGGCTGGCCTGGCCTGCGCCTCCCACCTGCGGGTCGGGCTGTGCCCCCTTCAGGCAGTGAGTGCCTGGAACCTGGGCCTCCCCCCGCCCCACGGCAGCTGACAGGGTGGCTCCCATCCCGTGTCCGACAGCCCCCGGCAGGACTATTCAAAGCCCATTGGGGACAGACGGTGGCCCCTGCCGGCACCACTGAGGGATGTAGCCCCACCCACCACCCAGTGCTCAGGAGTCGGGCGGAAGCCCCTGTCAGACTCCAGGAGGAAGGGTGGCACATGCCAAGGGGCCCTGGAGTAAACAGAGGGCCAGGCGAGTGTGCGGGCCGCTGTCCAGGGCAGGGCCCTGCAGGGGCTCCCACGGCTCTCTCCAGCCCTGAGGCCCTGGGCTCACCCTCCAGAAGCCCACAGGGTAGATGAGCTGGCCCAGAGTGCCCTCATCTGTCTGCAGGATGCTGTCCACCGTCAGGCCGTGGGCCCGCAGCCGCTGCATGGCACCCGCGGTCACCTGGTCCTTGGTCTGGCTGGAGAGCATCAGGGACAGCAGCACCTGGTACCTCTGCACCTGCTGGCGGCAGGACGCGTCCACCCGGTGCCCCTCCCCGGTGCCCCTCGAGCCGGCAGCGAGCGCGGGGAGGCTCCTGCTTACCTCTGGGGGGGCACCGGTGTCGTAGCAGTGCTCGGCTCCGAGCTGGTCCACGGGGGCATCCCTCCTGCTCCTCATGGCGCGGATGTTGGCAAGCTGCTCTCGCCAGTCCTGGGGCTCCCAGCCTGGGGCCTGGACCCTGTCACCTTTCTCACCCTCTGGATCCTCCTCATAGGCCATGTCCAGTCTCCTGACCTTGTGTGGTCGCTTCACAGGGCTGGGGTTTTTCTCTCCTGCAAAAAGCACCACTCGGTCCCTGAGCCCCAGGAGTGTGCGTCCCGGGGAGGCGCGCAGCCCTCAAGCATTCTCCCAGCTCCCTGCGGCCTTGTTTCCCTGGGGGTATCTAAGCTCCCCTCCCGGACGCGTACGGGGACCCCAGTCCATCCTCTGGGCACGTACAGAACTTCCTGGTGTGTCCTCTTCAGCCCTCTCCACTGGCACTGGGCCTCTGCCTGCTCCCCGCCCCTCTTCCGTTCCTCCCGCCCTGCGGTTGTCCGTGCTTCCCCCCAACACCGGGGAGCGTCGGGAACGCCCCATCTCCCCTGGGACGGGACGAGCGCGGGGGCGTGGGGTCCAGGCAGCCCCGCTCTCTCCAGGCCAGGGCTAGGCACACGCGGCGCTCAGGGCCCCCGGGAGTCCCGGGCAGGCTGACGGGACGGGAAGAACTTGGTCGCTTCGGGTCGCAGCATGGGAACGCAGGGCCGCGGCGGCGGCGCGTGCACCCGGACGCCGGTGGACACGGCCCCTTCCCCGTCCCTCCTGGCCGGGGCGCCAACCTGCAGGCGCTCCTCCTCGGCTCCGGCTGCGCGTCAGCATCCCGGCGCGCAGCGTGTGCATGCCGGACGCGTCCCGCGACTACACGTCCCGTCGGCCCCCGCGTGGCGCGTGCGTCCGGCGGCGACTCAGAACTACGACTCCCAGCGCGCTCCGCGCGTGCCCGGGCCCCACTTCCTGCGGACGGATGTGCGGGGCGCGCTTCCGGCGGCGGCGTCGCGGGCCCGGTGAGTGGCCGACCCGCAGCTCGGCTGCCCGGCCGCCCGGCTTCCCGGCTGCCCGGCGCGCGGCGGCTGCGGCGCTGGGCTCCCGCCCGCCTCCCCGGTGCTTGGCGCCCTGGCCGCGTCCGCCTCAGCACTCTTGTCGGTTCGCCGTGTCCGCGGGCGGCCGCAGGGCCGGGGTGAGGTCAGCCACGGTGCATTCGCGCGGAGCTGCCCACCATGGCCAAGCCGAGCAGCAAGGATTCCGGCTTGAGGGAGAAGTTCAAGACCCTGCTGGGGCTGGGGACGGCGAGGGCGCACCACCCCAGGGCGGCGGAAGGCAAGCAGACCGAGTTCGTCATCACCACCGACGTCCTCAGAGTGAGTGACCGGCGGGACGGACAGCAGAGCTGCTGTCAGCTGCGGCGCTCTCGCGCGGCCCCTGGGCAGGGAGCCGGAGGGGCCCGGCTGCAGAGGGCAGTGGTGACACCGTGCACCCCAAGTCCCGATGAGGGGTCCTGTCAGACGGGCAGGCCGGCTCCTGCTGGTGTGGGGGTGTGGGGCCAGCACAGGAGGCGCCGAACACCCCGCCAGGGCTCTGGGCCCTGAGACCAACTGGACGTGAGAGCGCGGTCGCTTAACGACGCCAGGGCCCGTTGGTGTGTGTGTGGAGGGGAGGACTCCGGCCTCAGGCCCCTGGGCTGCTCCTGTACCCGTGTGGGGGTGGCCACCCTGGGCCCCCGGTCTGGGAGCTCTGGCCTAGCCTGGGTCGCACTGTGGGTGCCTAGCATCCCAGCGTCAGGCCTCTGGCCTGCACTCCTGCCTAGGACCCATCAGACAGCTGCGCAGCCCCTCACAGGTCCCTGGGTTCAGAGGGCTGCGGTGTGCCCGGCCCTGCGGTATGGGGCCCCAGCACTGCCACCACGCTGCCGTGAAGGGGCTGCCTCGGGACCGGTGCAGCTGCACTGGCACCTGGTGCAGTTCAGGGGGTGCGTGGGAAGCAGGCCCTGGGTACCAGCGGATGTCCGCTGCTCCCCCCAGCACTCGGCTAGGTCTGACGCAGCTAGGCTGTTGGCGCAGCTGGGTGAGGGGTCTTGGATCTGCGGCTTCATCCCATGGCTGCAGTGGCCGGTCCTGCCCCAGCCAGGTGCTGTATCTGGGTCTCCCACAGTGGTGCCAGGAACAGAAGCACCTGGCCACCGTCTGCTGCCCTCACTGCAGCCTGAGCAGGGAGCAATGTTAAATTGGAGCAGCTGGGACTTGAACTGGATCATAAGGGATGCAAACCTCACAGCTGGTGCTTCACCGCCTGCCCCACAGTGCAAGCCCTGAAGAACCAGTGACAGGGAGAGAGGGGGACAGGAGTGAGAACAGGTGTGGAAGAGCTTTCTTTCATTGGTTCAAAGTGTGGGCTCTGCCGGTGGGGAGCCAGGAGCTCCTCCTGGCTGCAAGCACTTGGGCCATGGTGTGCTGCCTTCATGGCTGTGTGAGAAATATGGATTTGCACACATCCCCCCTGCCCGTGTCCTGTGCGCACTCCCCCGTGTCCCGTATTCACTCTCCCCCGTGTCCCGTATTCACACTCCCCCGTGTCCTGTGCACACAGACTGTCCAGGAGTTGAGCTTGGCCTCTGTCCTCAGAGGTGGGGTCACAGACTGAGCGTCTCACACCGTCCCGCCCTGCCACAGTGCCAGCCCCTGTTGTTGAGTTTCACGTTGAGAAAGCTGTAATCAAGACTTGTCTGCCTTGGAAAAGGTTGTCTCCCAGCTGTCAACTGGGAAGTGCAGGTGTTGGTGACATGCAGGTAAGAGGACTTGTCGGTTTCTTCTTTCCTCTTGGCCTCTAGGAACTGAGTGTTGAGTGCGGTATCAATAATCGCATCCGGGTCATAGGGCAGATCTGTGAAGTTGCAAGAACCAAGAAGTTTGAGGAGGTGGGTTTGCCTTGGCTGGGCCACTAGAGTGCTGAGGGATGCTGTGTAAGGGCTGCCGTCCTGGGAACCCACATCAGGATTCCCAGTGGATGGGCTTGGGCCTCTTGGGGCGTAACTTGCAGCTGCCTGCTGAGGAAGCCTGTGCAGGACAGGCTTGTGCAGTGTGTGTGGGGTGCAGTGTGTGTGTGTGTGGGGTGCAGTGTGTGTGAGGTGCAGTGTGTGTGGGGGTGGGGTGCAGTGTGTGTGGGGGTGGGGTGCAGTGTGTGTGGGGTGCAGTGTGTGTGAGGTGCAGTGTGTGTGTGGGTGGGGTGCAGTGTGTGTGGGGTGCAGTGTGTGTGGGGTGCAGTGTGTGTGGGGGTGGGGTGCAGTGTGTGTGTGGGTGGGGTGCAGTGTGTGTGGGGTGCAGTGTGTGTGGGGGTGGGGTGCAGTGTGTGTGAGGGTGGGGTGCAGTGTGTGTGGGGGTGGGGTGCAGTGTGTGTGAGGTGCAGTGTGGGGGTGGGGTGCAGTGTGTGTGTGGGTGGGGTGCAGTGTGTGTGAGGTGCAGTGTGTGTGGGTAGTGGGGTGGACTCACACAGGAGGGTGCAGAGGCGTAGCGACTTGGAAAGGTGGTTGTTTCTGTTAGCCGCGCACAGGGCAGATGCAGTGTGGTGAATAGACACTCCCCGCTCTCGCTCTGCGGAGCAGGTGGAGTTGCTTCTGGGAGTAAGGTTGCTGCAGGCTCCCTGCCCTTCCTTGCAGCCTGTGTGCAGTTGCTGGTAGGAGCCTATCAGCTCCAGGCCGCTGTGACGGTATGGGGTGGCATTTTGCTTGGGATCACACGAGCCCCCACTGTTTTCCCCTCAGGGTGTCCACACATCAGCTGCGTCAGTCGGAGTGTGAGAGGCTCAAGAAGGGGGGGGCACGGGGGCGCAGTGTGCACGGTTCTTTGAGTTGCCTGAGTGGTTGTCAGGCAGTGTCTGAAGGATTGTAGCTGTTTTGTCCTCTTCTCAGGCGAGCTGCCTCAGGAGTGAGACCATCCCAGTGGAGGAACTTAGGAGGCTGTGGCGAGGGTGGCAGCTGGGTTGCAGGCGTGGCTCTGGGGACAGGTGCAGACACAGAGCCCGCCAGATGCAAATGTGACCTGTGTCCCGCCTCCTGGGCGTGAGCAGTGTCCCGTGGGTGGCCCCAGCAGGCGTGGACGCCAGGACCACTTCCCTGGCTGCTCCCTCCCCTCCCTCATGCCCTCAGCCTTCTGCATTTGCAGTAACCTAGGCTTCCCCCAGGGAGGCTTGTGGTTGTCCTAGCCACGGGTGCCCACAGGCTTTGGGCTCTGTCTTGCTCCCTGGCCTGTCCTGGCCTCGAGGGGCTGGACTCTGCTCACGGTCCCTCTGCGCTGGCCACAGCATGCAGTGGAAGCCCTCTGGAAGGCCGTTGCTGACCTGCTGCAGCCAGAGCGGCCCCCTGAAGCCCGGCACGCCGTGCTGGCCCTGCTGAAGGCCATCGTCCAGGGGCAGGTAAGGGCTTGGGCATGGCGTTGGGGGGGACTTTGGGTTGTGCCTGCTATGGCAGGGTCGCGTTCCTGTCTTGACATGTAGGGTAGGTGCGCTGGCTCATGGGCTGTGCAGCAAGCCTGCCCGTGTGGGTACAGGTCACCCCTTGTGTCTGCATGACCCTGTGTGTGGCTCGGGAGCCCCCTAGGTAGGAGTGCTGAATTCCAGGGAATGAGGCTGTGCTGCTTGGCCTGGCAGTTGACGCCTTGGTCTGGGGCCACTCCTCTGCTCATGGGTCCAGCCCTGCTGGTGGCCTGGGCAGACCCTAGGACCCTGTCGCTCTCCCCATTCCAGCCTGGGACGGCTGCCTGGGGAGGTGCCCCTTCCATCATGCGCTCCACGTACTGGCTCATCTCCACCCTGTGGGGTGTCCTTGTGGGAGGAAGGAATCAGAGTTGGGGTGTGGTAGCCTTGGGGAGACCTGGCAGGCCACTAACCTATGTTTTTTCCCAGGGGGACCGCCTGGGGGTTCTCAGGGCGCTGTTCTTCAGGATCATCAAGGATTACCCTTCCAGCGAAGACCTGCACGAGAGGCTTGAGGTGTTCAAGGCGCTCACGGACAACGGGCGGCACATTGCGTATCTGGAGGAGGAACTGGGTGGGTGCCGCTGGCTCCAGGCCTCCGGCTGTGGGGATCAGGTGTACTCTGGGGGGGGACTGGGGCTGCAGTTCCCTGGGTGGTCCTGCTCCCATGGCTGCTTGAGGAACCCTCCCTCCTGGGTCTCGGGGTGAAGGGGCTCTGGGGACTGAGACTCTCTTTGGGAGTGGCTGGTAGCCTGGTTGTGGTTCTTGGCGCCCCCACTACCCCTTGGCCCTCCCTGTGAGTAAGCCTGCTGCTGAGCTGCCTAGGAAGGGCCAGGCAGGTGCAGGCCGGACTGCCCAGCAGGCAGGTGGCTGTCGTTGCTGCTTGTTTGCTAAAGGAGATGTGTCTGGTGAGGTTTGCCACGGCAGCAGGGTCTGCTCTGAACATCTGTGCTCTCATCAGTCCAGCCCTGGTGTGTCCTGTGCCCTGCCTGGGGCCCTGTGTGTGGCCTGCCCGTCCCTGGGAGCCCTGTTATTGAGGGCTTGTTGGGAGGGGGATAAAGGAAGTGCACAGAGCTGCTCTGCTTGCCTCCCCAGCGGAGTTCGTCCTGCAGTGGATGGATGTCGGCCTGTCCTCCGAATTCCTGCTGGTGCTCGTGAATTTGATCAAGTTTAACAGCTGTTACCTTGACGAATACATTGCGTCCATGGTTCAGTAAGAGTGGGGCTTAAGACAGTGCTGCTTTAACAGGGACCCCCGTCCTGAGTCTTAAATTCACCCACCTTCTGCTCCAGTGTTCCTAGCTGCTGTGTTACTGCTCTCCTGTCCTTGCTTTTCCCGAACATTCTGACCTGTCCCCGGGGGCAGGATGTCTGTGTAAACGCCTGCACCAGAAGCGGTGGTCGGTACTTGAGCAGGGGCCCCGCTGGGCGAGGAGCCGCGCGTGCTGTGGCTGGCCTGTGTGGGATAGTCCCGGGCCTCCAGGAGTAGCACCTGCGCTGACATGGCCTTTTCCCCGCAGCATGATCTGCCTGTTGTGCATTCGGACTGCATCCTCTGTTGATATTGAGGTCAGTGGCTTCCCTTCCTGGGTACAGCTTTGGGCTGGAGCCCTGAGTACCCTTTGCCTGGGACACAGGCGGGGTCCTGGGGCTTCCTCATCTCAGGGTCTCCCTAATAGGATGGTTGAATGGCCCGTGACAGGGGTCACAACTCAGACTGAGAGGGATGTGTGGTGCTGGTGACCCAGAGGGACCAATGTGGACAGCTTGGAGCAGTGACATCACTGACCAGAGATGGGAGATGCGTGGGGGTGTCCCCTCCCTGTGAGCTGAAGACTAGTATAACACCCCCAGGTGTCCCTGCAGGTGCTGGACGCCGTGGTCTGCTCCAGCTGTCCCTCCCCCTCCCCAGGTGTCCCTGCAGGTGCTGGACGCCGTGGTCTGCTCCAGCTGTCCCTCCCCCTCCCCAGGTGTCCCTGCAGGTGCTGGACGCCGTGGTCTGCTACAACTGCTTGCCTGCAGAGAGCCTCCCGCAGTTCATTATCACGCTGTGTCGCACAGTGAACGTCAAGGAGCTCTGTGAGCCCTGCTGGAAGGTGAGGCTGAGCCAGGCCGGGGTCCCCAGTGGGGTGCAGTGGCGTCTGATGACCAGGTGGCTGAGCTGAGCTCAGGGCTCTTGGGGGTGAACAGGCGGGGAACCACTTGGGGCTGGGCTGGTCTCTGCCTGGGCCTGAGCTGTGAGCTTTGTCCCCAGCTGATGCGGAACCTCCTGGGCACCCACCTGGGCCACAGTGCCATTTACAACATGTGCCGTATCATGGAGAACAGGCGAGTGTGCGACCTGGTGTGAGGGCGGGGGCTGAAGCCCAGTGCCAGCAGCCCTGGCGGCTCCAGGGTGCTTGAGCCACATGAGGCTGTGTCCTACCCAGTCCCCTTCCAGCCTGGTACCAGGAAGTCCAGGGTCGCACCAGACCCACCCTCCCTCCTGCGGTGAGCCCCCATGGGCTCTGCACTGTTCCGGCTTCTCCACGCAGCAGCCGAGCTGTGCTGGGGACGTGCCCGCTGGGCCGCCTGCAGAGACCTCTGTCCACCATGCCCCTGCTCCAGTGCCCAGTGCTTCCCTCCTTGGTCCAGGACCCTGCATGTCCTGTGCTCAGCATGGCTGCGGTGCCCTGGTCTTCCCCAGCAGGGTCGTCCTCCGCTGTGGCCCTTCCGAGCTAGGAGGACAGGTTCCGCACCTTCTCGTGTGACTGGCACGTGTGCCTCACTGGCCAGCAAGCACTGCAGGCCCTGGCCCAGGTGTGGCCAGCAGTGATGACTTGGTGGGGAGGGTTCAGGCGGCTGCTGCTGCCTGCATGTCCTGGCCCATGAGTACAGGGTGGGGTGCGGCCAGGAGCCCACGGGGGCAGGGGGCTTTGTTCACTGCCGACTGTGTGGGGCTCCCTGCAGAGCCTACATGGAGGACGCCCCACTGTTGCGTGGAGCTGTGTTCTTCGTGGGCATGGCCCTCTGGGGAGCCCACCGCCTCTACTCGCTCAAGAACTCGCCGACATCTGTGCTGCCATCCTTTTATGAGGTACCACGGTTTCTGGGGTGCAGTGAGTGGCATGGGGAGTCTTCTGGGCCTGTTCTGTGGGTTGTTTTTCCACGGGCTGAGAGCCAGCCACCCTGGGCCGCAGTCTCTGAGAGAACTTCCATCAGCTGACTCATTTCCCAAAGGGCCACAGCACCAGGGCCAGACCAGGGTGAAGCTGGGAGCCAGGAGCTGCATGTGGGTCTTGGGCCACACTTGGGCTGTCCTCTGCTGGGTTGGAAGTGGAGCAGCCAGGACTGGAGCAGGTGCTGCTGCACAACTTGAGCGATCCCCTGACCTGTGTACAGTCAAGCTGTCTCTTCCCTGGGTTACCCAGAGCTGCTGACCCTGCCTGCTGCTGTGCTCTGCTCTTTCAGTGTGGCTGGGAGTGCCCAGGTCCTGCTGTGCCCGCACACCCTCACCAGGTCTGCAGTGGCAAGCGCCTGGCCCTGCAAGGTGGCTGCAGGGTGCCGGCTGCATCTGGAGCACTCGGAGGCCCTGTGGAAGCGACTTCTGGTGTCCCGTTTTCTCACCATGATCGAGTGGGGTGGGCAGTGCCCCCGGTGTGCAAAGGCCCACACACGCGGTGTGGGCAAGCTTCTTGTGCTGGCTGACCCTGTGTGCCCACGGCTCCCGTTCCAGGCCATGACGTGTCCCAATGAGGTGGTGTCCTATGAGATCGTGCTGTCCATCACCAGGCTTGTGAAGAAGTACAGGAAGGAGCTGCAGGCCGTCACGTGGGACCTGCTGCTCAACATTGTGGAGCGGCTGCTGCAGCAGCTCCAGGTGGGGCGGCCACAGGCCACTGCAGACTCTGCCCCCAGGGGGCCTTCTTCCCTGGGGACCCGGGCCTGGTACCTCTGACAGTGTGCCCCAGTTGTGGCCCAGGCGGGAGTGGGAGTGGCTGGGCTCCTGGTTGCATCCATGGGCTGAGTGAGCCCTGAAGCAAGCCCCCTAGCACCTGAGGGCTGGCCAGACTGGAAGATGGGATCAACAGGGGGACTCTAGCAATGTGGTTCAGGCCCTTCTGGGGAGCCTGGACAGGCAACAGGCCAAAGCCAGGAAGGACTGGGCCATGGGCCAGCTCATGCCAGGCTGGCTGGCAAGGCTCCCTTCAGCTGGGAGGCAGGGCCACGAGGAGGAGCTGCCTGGGGAGCTCAAGGCTGCCCTCAGCCTGTTGCCTGCTCTTCTTTGTACTTGCCTGCGGACAAGCAGCTGGGGACCTCCGAGGCCAGGACAAAGGCTGGCCCGTGCAGCCCAGCGGAGGGGCCTGGCTTGGGGAGTGGGGGCCGATTGTGTCAAGTGCCTTGGTCCTGCAGAGCCTGGACAGCCCGGAGCTCAGGACCATCGTGCATGACCTGCTGACCACAGTGGAGGAACTGTGCGACCAGAATGAGTTCCACGGCTCCCGGGAGAGATTCTTCGAGCTGGTGGAGAGATGTGCAGACCAGAGGCCTGTGAGCTGCCACCCTCCCCCGCTGCCCTTGGGTTGGTCTCAGGTGTTGGAGGGCCCCTCCTAGGAACCCTGGCTGCAGCTAAGCCATCCCTGCTGGTTGCCTGTCCCCGCGGATGCCTGTCCTCCCTGCCCCGAGCTTATATACAGATACCCATCCTCATCCCTGTGGACGTTGGTCCTCCCACGTCCCCATGGACACGTCTCCTCCCCTGTCCCCCTCGACGCCCGTCCGCCCCATGGTGACAGTCCTGTAGGCATGCTCAGTTGGTGGGTGCTTCTGTGTGGTTAAGGTGATTTCTGGGTGGCCGGGCTGCCTCTGTCCCCGTGCTGGGAGCGGCCATGCCCACACGCTGCTGCTGCTGGTTGCAGGAGTCCTCCCTCTTGAACTTGGTCTCCTTCCGGGCACAGTCCATTCACCCTGCGAGGGACGGCTGGATCCAGAGCCTGCAGCTGCTCATGGAGCGCTTCTTCAGGTAGTGCCACCCTGCGTCTGGACGCTGACGTCCGATGCCCCTGCTGCTCTCTGGGTGGTCACCGATTTGTTTGAGAGGCAGAGAAGGCGGGCATGCCCTCGTGTAGGTTCACTCCCCACGTGCCCAGTGCTGTGTCTGGGCTGGAAGTGAGCTGGGAGGCAGGACCTCTGCCCAGGTCCTGGCTCTGAGAGATGCCCAGATATGTGACGTGGGTGTTTTGACCACCAGGCTGGTCACCTGTGCCTCCTTTCAGGTCCCTGAAAGTTAGCGGTTGTGGGGCTGGGCAGGGCTCCTCTTCCCGCTGATGGCGTGCTTTCTGAGGGGCCAGGGCCTGCCGGGTGCAGGGTCGGGATGCCAGCATCCAAGGAGCCTGCCCCTCTGCCCCTTCCCCCGCAGGAGCGAGCCCCGCAGCGCTGTGCGCATCAAGGTGCTGGACGTGCTGTCCTTTGTGCTGCTCATGAACAGACAGTTGTACGAGGTGGGTGTGGCCTGTGACCCTGGCCCGCCTCCTCCTGCCTGTCCGTCCGGGGCTCCTTCGTTAGTTTTTCTGTGCCATGCTGCTCCCTGGCCGACCAGCAAGGCTGCTGAGGCCCTGGAGACCCCAGCCGTTCAGTCAGTCTTGCCCTAGCTGGGGCTCCACCTCTTCTGTGGTCCATCCACCCTCCACCCCACCCCTGCCCGCTGTGGCTGCCACCTCGTCTGTTAGGTTTCTGCACAGCCTTTGCCATGTGCACCCGCCTGCCCTGCGCCCTTTGTCCCTGAGTGTGAGGAGCTCTGAGACTGCTTTCCCCTGAAGCCTACCTCCTGGAGCCCTGCATGCCCAGGCCTGCCCGCCCTGCTCCCTGCTCCCTGGGTGCGCCTCTGGTCTGCCTTTTGCAGTGCCCCCTCACCATGTACAGTGTGGTGACGGCCCTCAGGAAGCCCCGGGGTGTCTGGGCTCTCTGCAGGGTTGGTGGTGTTGTGCTCCCTGTCCACCTGTGTCTGTGAGCCTGCATCACCCTGGCGTAGACGGATACCTGTACACACACGGCTGTCGTAGGGCTTGCTGCTACTTGGTCAATGCCTGGGCAAAGTCTGATGGCAGGTGCCCATCCTATAGGCAGTGGCTCACCTCCAACCCTGTGTGCCCTGGACAGGAGGAGCTCATCAACTCCGTGGTCATCTCCCAGCTCTCCCATATCCCCGAAGATAAGGACCACCAGGTCCGGAAACTGGCCACCCAGTTGCTGGTGGACCTGGCGGAAGGCTGCCACACCCACCACTTCAACAGTTTGCTGGAGATCATTGAGAAGGTGAAAGCTGCTCAGGCTTCGGACTTGGGGGGCTGACGGGACCCCTAGTAGACATAAGGGACCTCTCTGTTGGCCTCCCGCTCCTGGCAGAGCCTGCCTGGTGGCCTCTCCCTGAGCGCGGCGGTGGGGTGCTGGGGCAGGTGCTTGCTCCGTTTGCTGCTCAGCCCCCTGGTCTCCTGTGAAGGTGATGGCACGCACCCTCTCTGCACCGCCTGAGCTGGAGGAAAGGGATGTGGCCTCCCACTCAGCTTCCCTGGAGGACGTGAAGACTGCCGTCCTGGGACTCCTGGTCATCTTGCAGGTGCGTGTCTGTGCTGTGCCATTCAGTAGGGAAGTCTGTGGCCAGCTCTTGTTCCTGCTGGACACTGCTCTTCTGGTATCTGTGTCCTGGGAGCCTGGGGTCGTAGGGGTCCTCCTGGCTGCAGTGGGCACTGTCTGGATCCTGGCTTACAGGCTTCCTGTGTGGAACCTGCTTATTTGATGTCAGCAGTATGTATCCCCTTCCCAGTTGAAGTAGAAAGGGCCATTCACGCTGCTGAGGCTGGGGGAGCCGCGGGAGGAGCTGGCTGTGTTGTCACGGCTCATGGGCATGGCTGTGTTGGCCTGGCCCGTGGACACGGCTGTGTTGGCCTGGCCCGTGGACACGGCTGTGTTGGCCTGGCCCGTGGACACGGCTGTGTTGGCCTGGCCCGTGGACACGGCTGTGTTGGCACAACTGTGCGGCTCAGTCCCCGCAGAGCTGCATTGTCATCCCTGCAGAGCAGCCTGTGCCGACCACTCATCACTTGAGCTGTTTCTGGTCCCTGTGTCTCAGGAACTGTCAGGGAAAGAGATTCTGTTCTGAGTCCATACTGGTGGCTGGCGGGGCTCTGCCATGGGGGGCACTGTGTTGGACACGCATGTGAGGTGGAGCCATCTCGTCTTGAGACAGGAGCCTCCTTCAGGCACCTTGCTGACCCCAGAGGCAGACCCAGAGCAGCAAGGTGCTGGCCGACTGAAGCTCAGAGCCGTCACACTGCCTGCTCTGGTGTGTACCAGCTGAAGCAGGCACCAGGCCCAGTCCGACACTGCCCATGCCCGGTCCTGTGCCTGTGTGATCTCAGCAGCTGGGCCAGCTGGAAGCTGCTCCTGCTTTTGCTTTACTGGCTGGAGGCTGAAGCTTCGGGGCTGCAGAGTTGGGTGGCTCTCCTGTGACAGTGTGGGCATCTGCTTGCCGGAAGCCGTGACCCTCATCTCCTGTGGCACTGGCTGTCTGTGCCTTCTCTGCGAAATGGTCAACTTTTGCCCCCCCCTTTTTTTTTTTAAGATTTACTTATTTTTGTTGAAAACGCAAATATACGGAGAGGAATATCTTCTGCCTGCTGGTTCACTCCCCAAGTGGCTACAGTGGTCGGAGCTGAGCCGATGCAGAACCAGGAGCCTCTTCGGGTCTCCCACACAAGCTTTGGGCCGTCCTTGACTGCTTTCCCAGGCCACAAGCAGGGAGCTGGATGGGAAGTGGAGCAGCTGGGACACAAACCAGCACCCATGTGGGATCCTGGAGTGTGCAAGGCAGGGGCTTTAGCCAGTAGATTACTGTGCTTGGCCCCAACCATTTTTTTAAAGACTACATTTTTTGATCTTGGTGTTCATGAGGTGCCTGGGGAGGTGGAGAGGCCAAAGGTAATGAGGGAGGTACAAATCTGGGCGCCTCGCTGGAGCGCATGGGCAGGCGGGTGGCTGCTGCTCCGTACGGGCCTCCTGTGCGAGCGTTGCAATGCTGGCACCTGCTGCCCTTGGGGCCGAGCTGGGTAGAGTGCTGCTGCTTGGTCAGCCGGGGCAGCTGTGCAGCCCTGGTGTCGGGACCTGTGGTTAGAGCGGCTAAGGATGGGGACACGTTAGGATCCGGAAATGGCCTGGTACTGTGACCCCATGTGGTGACCACCAGTCACACGTGGTCACTGAGCTGCTGCTGTGGAGCTGGTCCAGGTGGGAATGGACAATACAAAAAAAAATGCTGTAAAGTAGCCTTGTAATTGTTGATAAATATATTATTAGCCTTTAAACTTTTAATTTCTAATAAAACTTTTTTTTTCTACGCTAATATTTTTTTCCCTGTATCTGGGGTCAGGGGAGAAACAAAGGGAGAAGCCCCACCCAGCCTCCCACCCATCCCAGGTCCCCGACGTGGGGCGCGCTCTGAGGGTCCTGCTCAAGCAGTTTTGATAGTTCAACAGTTCTGAGTTGCTGCCAATCTCGCCACTCCGAACATGATGAAATCTCTTCAGAGTCCACTGGCTGCCATAGTCTCTTCATGGCTGGGGTTCTGAGATCAGCAGTTCAGTTGAAGGGATCCCCAAAGAAACTTTGGGCCGTCCTCTACTGCTTTCCCAGGGAGCTGTCAGGGTTAGAACTGGTGCCTCTTATGGGATCCCAGCACATGCAAGGACTTTAGCCACTAGACTACTGTTCTGGGCTCCAATAATATACTTAATATACTTAAAAGGAGTGTATTTGTGAGAGTACAGACACAGGATGTATGGGGTGCTGTGGCTTAAGTCGCTGCCCAAATGGACAGAATGTCTGCTTGGATCTCAGCGCTCCGCTTCCCTTCTAGCTCCCTCTAGTGGCCTGGGAAAGCAGCAGGGGACGGTGCTTGGGCTCCTGAACTGCCTCAGGGCCTGTGATGGAGCCGCAGCCCCTTTGCCTCAGCCCCTGTGGAGGCCTTTTGGGGAGTGAGCCAGTGCCCGAGGGCCGTTGTCCATCTGCGTTCCTGGTGTACAGTGTCTAAACACAGGGCATAAAGGCATGGATAATTCCCAGTGCAACATTCGGCATTCTCCAGGCAGTGGATGAGTCCTGCACATTCCAAGTGCCTGCCCTTGATGGCCTGTGTGCCACATGCTGACTCCTTGTGGTCGAAGGCCTGCCCCTCTTCCCCAGTGTTTCTGAGACAGGAAGAGTGTTGAGGCCTTTGTCGTTTCCTGGGCTTACTTCTGAGCTGCAGAGACCTGGAAGCCCGCGGGCTCTCTAGCTCTGCCCGGTAATGCCTGGCTGGTGCCCCTAGGCTGCTGGCTGCATCAGGGTGAGGTGGCCGGGATCCACGGCCTCCTGCCCTGGGTGATCCATGGCCTCCCCATGCAGACCAAGCTGTACACTTTGCCTGCCAGCCATGCCACACGCGTATACGAGACACTCGTCGGCCACCTGCAGCTGCACTACAAGCTTAACTACACACTGCCCATCGCCAGCAGCATCCGGCTGCAGGTAGCTTAGTGGGTGGGGCTGGGAGCTGGGGATGTAGTGGGCGGCCCTGGATGGAGCCTGGCGCCTGGGGGACACCCCTGCCCTCAGCGTGCGGGACACACAGCCCAAGGGGAGGAACTGTCTGCCCCTGGCTCGCTGGCCACTGTTCTGCCTCCCACAGGCCTTTGATTTCCTGCTGCTGCTGCGTGCCGACTCGCTGCACCGCCTGGGTCTGCCCAGCAAGGACGGGGGCGTGAGGTTCAGCCCCTACTGCTTCTGCGACTGCGTGTACGAGCCACTGGGCGAGTAGGACGGTCCACTGTGCAGGCTGCACCGTGTCCTTCGTGGTCCCGGGCAGGAGGCCTGTGCCTGCCCAGCCCCGGGGGTGGGGCCGCCTCAGTAACTTCTCTTCTGCAGGGAGCCAGAGCGGGGCTCTGAGAAGAATACCGGCGGCTCCCTCTCGTCTCCCACGGGGCCTTCTGGTTCAGCCCCTGCAGGCCCTACTGTGCGCCTGGGCTGCCTGCCCTACTCACTGCTCTTTCGCCTCCTGCTGCAGTGCTTGAAGCAGGTGAGGTGGGCCTGTGCCTGGAGCTGTGTGGGCGGGGATGGGGTGGCACTGCTGGGGCAAGCCAGGCTGCTCCTCTAGGGTAGAAAGGTGGACGGCACAGGCATCTGCCAAGGCTGGAAGCTGCCATGTCAGTGCCATCCTGTGTGCTAGACCGTGGCCATGGGGAGGGGTGGGCATCAGTAGGGTGGGACAGGGCCAGTGTCCTGGGGTGCCAGCTGGGCTTTTGGGGCCCAGCTCACCCTCACTCTGGCCAGGCAGTTTTCTTCCTGCTGTGTCTTCATCATTGCAGAAGTTAAGCCGGATCCTGGCCAGGTCCATTGCAGGACAGGCCAGCTCTGACGCAGACTAGCCACCCCAGGAGGGTAATGCTGGGGTGTCCAGGGGGCCAAGCAGGGGCTCAACTGGGGACAGCGTCTGCAGGGGCGGGGATGGCGCCAGGGCAGTGTCCGTGCTGGCGGCATCCGCAGGCCCATGCCCTGGCCTCGTCCCTGCAGGAGGCTGACTGGAAGGTGCTGAAGCTGGTGCTCGCCAGGCTGCCCGAGTCACTGCGTTACAAGGTGCTGTTCTTCACCTCGCCCTGCAGCCTCGACCAGCTGGCCTCCGCCCTCTGCTCCATGGTAACACTGCTGCGGTGCTCCGCTGGGGTGGGGGCGGGAGGGCAGGGCTCCCACCGAGGGCTGTGCTACCGCCAGGCTCTACAAGGTCCCTGATCACTCCCCATCTGTTCAGCTTTACTGGATGGCAGCTGGGGGCGTCCCCAGGGCATGCTGTAACTGTGGCCCAGTGTGGCCCCTCTTCCTGCCTGGGGCCTCCAAGGTGTCCATGCTGCCGTCTTGCCTTGCCCTCGTGTGAGGCCCACATCCCCCCACAGGGAAAGTGCTTGCCGAGGGTTTTGGGGGAAAGCTTCCCAGTGCCCGGTGGCCGCTGGGGCCCCACCCTGCTCCTGGTGTTAGCTTTCAGGCCCAAAGACACTCGAGCGGCTCCGGGGGACACCAGAGGGCTTCTCCAGGACTGACCTGCACTTGGCCGTGGTCCCAGTGCTGACGGCGTTAATCTCTTACCACAAGTACCTGGACAAAAGCAAGCAGGTGGGAGGCGAGAGAGGCCCGTACTGTCCCCAGCTTACCCCTCTCCCCGCCGCCCGGCTGCCTGGCCAGCTGAGAGCCCACTGCAGGTGCCGGGTCCCACGGCAGTGTCTATCTTCTCTTTAAGGGACAGATGGCCAAACTGTGTTGACAGGGCTGGCCAGCTGCGGCCCCGGACTGCTTGTGCCACCCTCCTCACCCGCCCCACCCTCCCTCTTCCCCTCAAGGCTGCCCACTCGCAGCCCTTCTGTAAGGACATGCAGCTTGCTGGGCTCAGTCACAGCCACCTGGGCCTCATGCCAAACCGCCACACCTCACGGTCCTCACCAGTCCTGAGCTTATAACAGGCGCTGACCTGGCATGACGGGCACTGGCTGGACACAGGGAGGAGGGCTGTCTGGGCACAGGGAGGAGGGCTGTCTGGGCACAGGGAGGAGGGCTGGCTGGACACAGGGAGGAGGGCTGTCTGGGCACAGGGAGGAGGGCTGGCTGGACACAGGGAGGAGGGCTGGCTGGGCACAGGGAGGAGGGCTGTCTGGGCACAGGGAGGAGGGCTGGCCGGACACAGGGAGGAGGGCTGGCCGGACACAGGGAGGAGGGCTGGCCAGACACAGGGAGGAGGGCTGGCCAGACACAGGGGGCTGGCTGGGCACAGGAGGGAGTGCCAGCTGGGCATGGGGGAGGGGACACCATTGTTCCTGCTCGCCGGAGCTGTGGCTGCCTTCATGGAGGATACTGTGTGAGGCCAGCCCAACAGTAGCCATGAGCCCAACATGTCTCCATCCCGGGGTCAGGTTGGGTAGCTGGACTCTGCTGGCCAGTGGGTCATTGCCAGCAAGTTCCCATGTAAGGGCCTTTCTAAGCTATGGCTGTACTCCTCTGTGGGGAGGGGGATGTGCGATGGGGCCTGAGGTGTCCTTTAAATTTTTTTCAAAGACTTACTTGTAAGACCAGATGACAGATGTCCCATCTGCTAGATCACTCCCCAAATGGCCACAACGGCCAGGGCTGGGCCAGGCCAAAGCCAGGAGCCTGGAGCTGTACCCGGGTCTCATGTGGGCAGCAAGGGCCCAGATCCTTGGGCCGTCTTCCACTGCTGTCCCAGGCGCACTAGCAGGGAGCCGGGTCGGAAGTGGTGCAAGCTCAGACTGCCGCTTGACCCCCTGTGTCCCTGCACCATCCCTGAGCACTGTTGGCCTGCCTCCCTGCGTCCCGCCCCCTGAGCTCTGCTGTCCTGAGTTGTGCCCCCTGAACTGGCTTTTTCTCGCAGCGGGAGATGGTCTATTGCCTGGAGCAGGGACTCATCCACCGCTGTGCGGGCCAGTGCGTGGTGGCCCTAGCTGTGTGCAGCGTGGAGATGCCCGATGTCATCGTCAAGACGCTGCCCGTGCTGGTGGTGAAGCTCACGCACATCTCAGCCACGGCCAGCATGGCTGCCCCGCTGCTCGAGTTCCTGTCTAGTGAGTACCTGCCTTGCTGGCCGCTGTGGTCTTGGTTCCCCCCGCCCTCTCTTCCCTGAGTGCCTGGGTGGGGGGCTCCCTTGCCAGCCCCTCTGATACTGCATCACTGCGCTTCGCTGCCGACCTGCCTCTGCCTGCCCACCGCTCCCTCCAGGTCAGGGCGGGTCTGCTGGAGACCCTGGGGGGGCCGAGCTGGGTTAGCGCTTGTGTCCAGGCGTCCAGGTGAGCTTTGGCTTTGTTCACAGCCCTGGAGCTTGTGGGCTGTGCCAGTGCAGGCCGTGGCAGTGAGGTTTGCCAAGACCCTAAGGCGGGTGGTGAGGCTGGGGTTGGGCAGGGCACAGCTTGGGCCGCTGTGGCCCTCGCTCATCTGTGCCATCCCCCAGCTGCTGCCCTCATCTCGTAGCTCTGGCCCGGCTGCCACACCTCTACAGGAACTTTGCAGCTGAGCAGTATGCGAGTGTGTTCGCCATCTCCCTGCCTTATACCAACCCCTCCAAGTAAGACTGACGCGGGGCTCCCGCACCGCCGTGGGGCCACCTCCCTCGGTGCGCCTGAGGCCCCTGCTTCCCTGCCCTGCTCAGGTTCAATCAGTACATCGTGTGCCTGGCTCATCACGTCATAGCCATGTGGTTCATCAGGTGTCGCCTGCCTTTCCGAAAGGATTTTGTCCCTTACATCACTAAGGTAGGGACTCCCTGGCCTGCCCTAGCCCTGCCCTGCCCTCCCCTGGCCCTCGCCTGGCCCTACCCTCAGGGGTGATGGTGGGTGGGGAGGAGTCGTGCTGTGTGCTGTCCCCTCAGCTCAGGTCTGCCTCGCAGGGTCTGCGTTCTAACGTGCTGCTCTCGTTTGATGACACCCCCGAGAAGGACAGCTTCCGGGCTCGCAGCACCAGCCTCAACGAGAGGCCCAAAAGGTTTGCGGTCTGCCGGGTGCCTGGAGTTGTGGCGGGGTGGGACCCGGCACTGGGGACATGGGAGGCAGGAGAGGTCTCTGAGGCCAGTAGCGCCTGCACCTGCTGAGCTGCCCAGCTCTGGGAAGCCTGTACTTGGTCGGCTATGGGCCACAGGCACTGTCTGGGTCCGGGTTGCATCAGGGCAGCTGTGCCTGCGAGGAACCCCTCCCAAGGCGTCTCCTCCTGCAAAACTCGCCGGCCAGGGCCATGCCCATCACCGTCACAGCCGCTCCTGCCTGTCTGAAGGCTGCACTGGTCTCTTTCCGTCTGCGTTTCCCAGCCTGCCCACTGCCTGCTGCCTGCCTCCCTGCCCTAGTTTGTTCCTTCCTGGGAAAGCCATGTTCTCCCGCAGGGCCCAGGTCATCCTGGTGGCTGGGGGCTGGCGCTTGCTGGTTGTCCTGGTGGCTGGGGGCTGGCGCTTGCTGGTCCGTGGCTGAGCCTCGCCTGTGGCGTCTAGGCCTTTACTCAGGGACATCAGGGCCCAGCTGTCCGGGCCCCAGGCCTTGCTGGCCCTGGAGCTGGGCACCTTGGCCTTCTGCAGGGGTGGGCGGGGAGGCCTGGTCCACGCACCCTGGCTGAGTTTGCACGAGTTTTGCGTGTCCCCACATCCTGTGTGCAGCACTGCCTTCTCAGTCATGTTTACTGGATGTATCTCATGCATTTTGTTTTCTGTCTCTCCCGCTAACTGCCCCGTGGCCTGGTTCTGTTCATTCACCCGCGGGATCCATCTCCATCCTGTGCCGGGAACCCTCCCTCACCTCGCGTGGCTTGTTCCCCTCCCGGAGCTGGGCTCTCTGGGGCTTGGGGCGCCCTTCTTCCCCCGGTAGTCTGAGGATAGCCAGACCCCCCAGACAAGGCTTGACTCACTCCCCACCCATGGAGGAGTGCGAGGGGAGTCCTACCGCCGAGGCCTTCCGCTGCCGCAGCGTCAGTGTGTCTGAACATGCGGTCCGCAGGTAGCGGGGCACTTTGGGCGGGGGGCACAGACCCTGCGCTTGGCCCTGTGAGCGCCTGGGTGGCGGTGCATGGGGCTGCTTGCATGTCCTTGGCGCAGGGCCGGGGCTGGGCTCCACCCCGCCGTCTGGCCCAGGTGAGCCCGCAGGCAAGGGGGGGCAGGCTGCACGGACCCAGGCAGGCTGTGGGCTCTCCTGCTGGGTGCTTGGCCTCTTGGCCAGCGGCCTGGTTGCCCTTGGGACCGGCATCTGGAGCTCTGCAGGCGCAGCCGAGAGGCAGAGGGGCTTCTGTGGCGGGCGAGGGGCAGGGCAGCCGAGGACAGCCCAGGACCCCTGGTCCCAGCCCTGGGGGGTGCTGCCCACTGCGGTGGCTGCAGGTGCAGGTCCTCAGGTGCCCATGGGCCGTCCCTCCCCATCCAGGCTGTGCCAGCAGAGGGGGGACAGCTGTTTCCTCCGTTGGCAAACTCCCTCTCAGGCATTGCCTGATTGCTGTGGGGTGGGCTGCTCTCATAGCTGTGCCCTGGCATGTTCCTTGTTGTGAGCCAGGTCTAGTGGAGGGCGCACAGGGCAGAGTGGGGGCTGAGTGTGCAGGCAAGGGGTGGGCCATGGCCTTGCAGGTGGAGCCTCGTCCCCATGCGTCCTGGCTCTGCCACCTCCCGCCTCCTGTGAGCTGAGGCAGTGGCTCCTGCCGCGGCAGTGGGGGCCAGGGGCTTTCCCGCCAAGTGTGCCCCTCCGTTCCAGGAGGCTGTGGTCTGTGCAGGTTGTGGCGCTGTGGCTTAGCTAGCCACCGCCCTGAGGGGTCTGAGTGAGTGAGGCCCCCCAGTCGTGCATGCGTTGAGCTTTGGCCCTGGTGGTAGGCGGCTCTTCCAACCCGCCTGGGCCCTGACACTGGCCCTGGCCCCTCCTACAGCAGAGTCCAGACGTCCCTCACCAGTGCCAGCCTGGGCTCCGCGGACGAGAATTCCGTGGCCCAGGCCGACGACAGCTTGAAGAACCTCCACCTGGAGCTCACGGAGACGTGCCTGGACATGATGGCCCGATACGTGTTCTCCAACTTCACCGCCGTGCCCAAGAGGTAGGCGTCCGGAACCAGGCGCCATCTCCAGGGTCCCAGCCCCACCACTGCTGAGTCCCTGGGACCTCCACAGCTGTGTCCAAGTCACCCTTCCCTGTGTCCCCAGGTCTCCCGTTGGAGAGTTCCTCCTGGCAGGCGGCAGGACCAAAACCTGGCTGGTGGGGAACAAGCTTGTCACCGTGACGACAAGCGTGGGCACTGGGACCCGCTCGCTGCTGGGCCTGGATTCCGTGGAACTGCAGGGCAGCAGCCCAGAAACGAGGTGATGGCGCCTTCCCTGCCTCCCACCGGTCCTTGACGCACACTGTCCTGAGCCGGCCGGCCCCTGGGGGTCTCTTCCTAATGTCCAGACTTGTCTGTCCGTAGCGCTGACCCTGGGACACACATCCGACAGACCAAGGAGGCGCCGGCCAAGCTGGAGTCGCAGGCCGGCCAGCAGGTGTCTTGTGGGGCCCGGGACCGTGTCCGCTCCATGTCTGGTGAGCACCGGAAAAGGGCTGGGGGATAGGCCTCTGCATGGCGACCTGAGGGCTGACACGCTCTTCTCGGGCTGGGTATGGCTGTGCGTGGCCACACTCAAGGCTGGGGTTCACCGTCTCCATGGACCAGCTTTCCATGAGCTTTATCCGTCCTTTGCTTTGCTGTTTGCTGGCTGGGGTGGACCTGGGGCCCACGCAGGGCAGCACCTTGGGATGGACTAGCCCAGCTCCCTTCTGGGCTCCCGCTGGGTCTTGGGCAGGGTGAGGGCATCCGCCTACTACCTCTCTTCACAGGAGGCCATGGCCTTCGTGCTGTTGGCCTAGACACACCAGCCTCCCACTTCCCAGCCGGCCCCTGCTCTCCAGGAGCACCAATGGCGCCATCTGCCAAGGCTGACAGGGCCTCGGCTGGCCCCCAGGGCCTGGCTCCAGAGAGGATGAACCTGGCGGCCTACGTGCCCCTGCTGACCCAGGGCTGGGCAGAGATCCTGGTCCGCAGGCCCACAGGTACAGACCCCATGCCATCCTCCCCCAGCCTGCTTGGGGTGCTCCCCTGCTCCTCACAGTAAGCCCCTAGCCCTCCTGTGTCATTTCCCTGTCGGGAGCTGCCCCAAGAGCCGAGGGGCAGGCCCTCACCCCGCCAAGGAGGTGCTGGCACCAGGGTGGGCTGCACGAGGGGCCGGGGTGGGAGCGTGCGGCCTGAGGCTGTTGCCCGTTTCCCAGGGAACACGAGCTGGCTAATGAGCCTGGAGAACCCGCTGAGCCCCTTTTCCTCGGACATCAACAACATGCCCCTGCAGGAGCTGTCCAATGCCCTCATGGCGGCCGAACGCTTCAAGGAGCACCGCGACACCGCCTTGTACAAGTCACTCTCGGTGCCAGCAGCCAGCACGGCCAGGCCCCCACCGCTCCCTCGCTCCAACACAGGTGGGTGCCCTGCTGCCCTCGGAGTCTGCCACACAGCTGGCCTGGGCCCGCAGCTGCCAGTGGGACTCCCTTACTGACAGGCTGCCCGTGGGCTCCTCTGTGCAGTGTGAGGACCAGTCCAGCTGCTCTGCCAGCACCCGTGGGGTCCGCGTGGACTGGGCTCGGCTGCTGCCCTGCTCGGGGCCCTGGCCTGTGGCCACAGGTGTTCGCGAGGCAGCAAGAGCCCGCGCGCCTCCCGGACGCTGCTGGCCCCCCTCTCTCCCTCCAGGCTCGGGGTCTGTCTGCTCGGCCTGTGTAGTGTCCTGCTGAGCCGGCCGCGCGGGCTTTCCCTTGCAGTGGCCTCCCTGTCCTCCCTGTGCCCGTCCGGCTGCCAAGGGAAGCTGCACAGGAGCATTTCCTGGGCAGGTACTCGCGCGCGCAGGGCGGCGTGCTTGCTGTGGAGCCCGCTGCCTTGCAGGCCTGCCGCACGAGGACACGCCTGCTTTGCCCAGCCCTGACATGTGCGTCTGGCCGGTCCGAACCCTCAGACGCGGGTCTCAGGCCAGCCGCAGGTGCTGGCTGGTGGCAGCTGACCGTGGCCCGGGACTGCCTGCCATGCTCCATCTACAATCCCATGCAGGCTGGCCCCTGCCCCACTGCCGCAGGGCAGTGTGCAGACAGCTCCCGGTGGCACGGCTGTGCGTGGGTGGGCTGGGCTGGTCTCCCTTGGGTACCGCTTGTCCTGCTGACGCTGGCCTGGGTCGTGTTGCTTTGGCATGCTGCAGCCTCGCATGGGTTTGCAAGGCCAGCGCTGCCGTCAGCAGTGGACCCCAAGTCTGTTCCCTGAGGGGCCTCTGTGGGCTCCTGCCTCGTGGGGTGCAGAGTGGCTTCTGGGGGCACTGGGGTAGGTGGGGTTGGTAGGTACCATGTAGGAGCCCCCGGGACCTGCCCCGTGGGTGGCGGTGAGCAGGGCTGGGCCGAGGCAGCCCTCTGGGAGGGAAAGGCCAGCCTGAGGTCTTGCGTGCGCCAGGCCCGGTCCCAGCTGCCCGTGTGCTCCTCCCAGACTCGGCCATGCTTCCGGAGGAGAGTGTAGGTGCGGCCCCGCTGCCGCCAGATCCCCCAGAGCTGGAGGACGTAGAAGTGGCCGCGCTAGGCAGCCAGGGGCGCTGTGGCCGTGCTGCTGTCTATAGCCGGGTGAGTAGAGTCAGGCCGGGGCTTCCCCACCTCCCAGCTGGTCCCCAACTTGCTCTGAGAACTTGGCCGGTCCTGTCCCTTCTGTTAAATCAGCCTGGGACCCCATCCCTTCTGGGTGCCCGCGATCACAGCAGGCCGGTCTGACCAGGGCTGACCTGTGTGGTCCTTTTCAGTCGTCCTCAGCGTCCAGTCAAGAGGAGAAGCCATTCCGCAGTGAGGAGCGGGCCGCCTGTGGCGTCCCCATAGAGCGGACTGGCTCCACTGCCAGCGGCCGGCCGGCGGTGGGCCTCTCCTTCCAGCCCTCACAGCCGCTCAGCAAGTCCAGCTCCTCCCCCGAGCTGCAGACGCTGCAGGACGTCCTGGGGGAGGCCGGGGACAAGGCTGATGGTGGCCGGCTCAGTCCCGAGGCCAAGGCCCGGTCACAGTCAGGGTCCCTCGACAGAGATGGTGCCGCCTGGGGGCCCCCGGATGAGGAGGGCCAGGGCTTGGGCCCCACACAGCCTGAGGGGGCCCTGCCATCCAGCTCGCCCCGCTCTCCCGGTGGCCTGCGGCCCCGCGGCTATACCATCTCCGACTCGGCCCCATCACGCAGGGGCAGGAGGGCCGACAGGGTGGAACGGGACGCCCTCAAGGGCAGGGCTGCGGCCAGCAGCGCCGAGAAGGTGCCGGGCATCAACCCCAGGTGAGCAGAGCTGGTGGGTTCCGTGGGCAGGCGGCTCTGTGCAGGGCTGAGCTCCCCTCACCACCCCTCTGCCCCCAGCTTCGTGTTCCTGCAGCTCTACCACTCGCCTTTCTTTGGCGACGAGTCCAACAAGCCCATCCTGCTGCCCAACGAGGTAGGCCTAGCCCCCACCCCCGGGTGGTCGGCCCCTTCCTGCCGTGAGCCCCGGGTGGTCGGCCACTGCCTGCCGTGAGCTCCGGGTGGTCGGCCGCTGCCTGCCGTGACCCCCGGGTGGTCGGCCGCTGCCTGCCGTGACCCCCGGGTGGTCGGCCGCTGCCTGCCGTGAGCCCTGAGCTGGGCTGGGCTCACGCGGGTGCTTCGTTGTGCAGTCCTTTGAGCGGTCGGTGCAGCTCCTGGACCAGATCCCATCATATGATACACACAAGATCGCCGTCCTCTACGTGGGAGAGGGCCAGGTGAGGCCAGGCGCCAGCACGTTGGCCGTTGGTCTTGTCGCTGAGTGGCCATGTATGCTCATGAACCTGAGAGCTGGGGACAGAGATGAGGCAGTGTGGGTGGGCTTGGTAGGTGGCTGGCAGCCCCTGCTCGGGCGCATTGGGACTGCATGTGACCGAATCCAGGGCTGGCTGCCGTGGTAGTGGTGGGTTCCAGCAGATGGCCATTGTGTGTGGGCACTGCCCGGGCTCTGGCAGTTTGGAGACAGCTGGGGATTAACGGGCTGACAAGGCCTCCCAGCAAGGACCTGCCATGCAGAGCAACACGCTGCCATGCTGTGTCCCTGCAGAGCAACAGCGAGCTGGCCATCCTGTCCAACGAACACGGCTCCTACCGCTATACCGAGTTCCTGACGGGGCTGGGCAAGCTCATCGAGCTCAGGGACTGCCAGCCCGACAAGGTGTACCTGGGCGGCCTGGACGTGTGTGGCGAGGACGGCCAGTTCACCTACTGCTGGCATGATGACATCATGCAGGGTACAGCCCGCAGCCCTGCCCCCGACCCTGGGACTCTGAGGTCACCATCTGGGCATTGAGACAGCGGCTGGGATCGTGGCTCTGCTCCCAGCAGCCCTGGCCAGGCATTCGGACAGCTGAGGGAGAGCTGGCGGGCAGTGCCGTGCTTACCCTGGCTGTGCTTGCCTGGCAGCTGTCTTCCACATTGCCACCCTGATGCCCACCAAGGACGGGGACAAGCACCAGTGTGACAAGAAGCGCCACCTGGGCAACGACTTCGTCTCTATCGTCTACAATGACTCTGGTGAGGACTTCAAGCTGGGCACCATCAAGGTGAGTGGAGGCCATCGGGCCGCCTGTCATCCCGCAGCCATGGCTTCCTGTGTGGCGGGTGTGGAAGTGGGCTCCGGTGTGCCACAGCAGTGCTGGCCCCCCTGTGCTCAGGAGGAGCGGGCTAGGGGGCAGAGCCCGCTGCAGGACATCCCGGGGGTGCATGGGTGTGGGCTGAGTGGAGGCTGTTCCTCCAACGGTCGCTGAGCAATGGGGCAGAAGCAGGGGACGGCAGTGCCACTGTGGGGGTGCAGGGAGGGGCAGGACTGGGGTGTCTGGGTGTGGATGACTGTCACCTGTGCGAGCAGGGCCAGTTCAACTTTGTTCACGTGGTTATCACCCCGCTGGACTACGAGTGCAACCTGGTGTCGCTGCAGTGCCGGAAAGGTGAGGGTGCGCCCTGGTTGCTCTGGGGGTGTCCCCCGAGGCCCCGCCTGAGTCCTCTGTCCCCACAGACATGGAGGGCCTCGTGGACACCAGCATGGCCAAGATTGTGTCTGACCGCAACCTGCCCTTTGTGGCCCGGCAGATGGCACTGCATGCCAATGTGAGCAGGGGAGCTTTCTGGGGAGGGGTCCCAGGGGTCCCGGCGGCCGCTCACCAGCACCGTCCTCTGGCCCCAGATGGCCTCGCAGGTGCACCACAGCCGCTCCAACCCCACCGACGTCTACCCCTCCAAGTGGATCGCCCGGCTGCGGCACATCAAGCGACTCCGCCACCGGGTAAGGAGCTGGGGAGGGGAGTTCAGGGCTGCCGGGCCAGACCGGCCAGGCTCGCACTGGAGACCTCATCCCCACGCAGGTCCGTGAGGCCACCCAATATGCAAACTCCAGCCTGCCCCTGATGCAGATGCACAACCCTGCCCACGCCAAAGCCCCCACGCAGGCGCCAGCTGAGCCGCTGTCCACCTACGAGACTGGCCAGCGGAAGCGCCTCATCTCCTCCGTGGACGACTTCACAGAGTTTGTGTGAGGCTGCAGCCAGGTGGCGCGGGGCAGAGGAAATAAATGGGCCAGCGGGAGCAGCAGTCAGCTTCTTTATTTGACTTTGTCTGCTTGGGGCAGAGTGGGGGGAGGCAGCTGGGGCGCCCCCTCCCCCGCGGGGAGCCTGGCATTGCCTGAGGGCAGACACCCCTTCCCAGGCCTGGGAGCCAGCCCCAGGCACCAGAGACAAATAGGGACGTGGGGGACTCGGATCCAAGAGGTGGCGTGGCTTCCTGGCCCCCGCATGTGCGCCCGCGGGCTCCTCAGCCCTACTGGAAAGTTGTGACTTACAAAAATATGCACATCTCAACACCATATAAATTACGATAGAGGCAGTGGCTGGCAGCGGTGCCCTGCATGGGGCAGCGAAGGCAATAACTTAGGGGGAGGGAAGGAAAGCGGGCTGCCTGCCCCCGAGCCTGAGGCCGGCACAGGCCCGCTGTACCTGAGGACCTGGGGAATAAGTTAGCATCTCGGGGGGGGCACTCGCCCGTCCAGTACTGCTGTGGCCTCCGGCGGGCAGCGGGCAGGGGCCTGGCCGGCCACGCAGCCTCCTAAAGTGCGGCAGCTCGTGGGCAGACAGCGCCTGCCTGCCCAGCCCTCGCTGGGGCAGAAAGTAATACTGAGCGGTCCTGGTTCCCCAGGGCTAGGTGCTGCTGGGGTGTACTCTGTTCTTGCCCCGTGCAGAGGTCCTGGTGGGCCCTGGGGCTGCGTCCGTGCCAGCCTGGGCAGGCCTCGGGTCAGAGGCAGGCAGGAGACTCTGCAGCCGCCACTCGAGCTGGTAGACCTCCTCCGTGGCCTGGTTGAGCCGGTCGAACTGCGCAAGCAGGGCCTCGAACACCGCGTGCAGCCGGGAAGGCTCTGGCTCCCCGCGCGCACCTGGGTGCCCAGGGCCAGGGCCGTCCAGCTGACTGGAGGACGTGGAGGGGTGGGAGGCATCGGAACCGGCGCTGGGCAGGCGGGCATCTGACGCCTTGGAGCCCCGGGAAGAGCGGGAGGGCAGGGGCTCCATGCCCTCGAAGCGCACTTTGTGGCGGAACTGGGGGCGGCACAGGGGCTCCGTCACTCCGGCTGCGCTCCGGGTTCCCGGGGCGGGCCTTCTCCACCCCCACTGGGCCGTACCCACCTCCTTGGCCTTGCTGAAGCCCAGCCAGAGGCGCAGCCTTCGCAGCAGCAGCTCCACCATCTCGTGGTCCTGCGGCTCCCAGGCCGGCCGGTACAGCTCCCCACGCAGCCCGCGGTAGCGCCAGCGCAGCACCACGGCGCCCAGCCGCAGCGCGCCCCACAGCCGCAGGGCCCAGAGCCCCGCGCACAGCAGCGGGAACAGGGGCCAGGAGCCACCTGGGCACGGCGTGGGGACCCCGAGCCCGGCGCCCGGGCACAGCACCACCAGGGCCCCCGCCGCGCTCCGGAGGCTGTCTGCGGAGGAGACGAGCTGTGGGCCAGAGCAGGAGGGCCGGTGAGCGGGAGGGTCGGGGAGGTGGGCAGGGGGGCGGGGGGCGGTGGGCAGGGGGGCGGGGGGCGGTGGGCAGGGGGGCAGGGGGGCGGTGGGCAGGGGGGCAGGAGGGCCGGTGAGCGGGAGGGTCGGGGAGGTGGGCAGGGGGGCGGGGGGCGGTGGGCAGGGGGGCAGGGGGCGGTGGGCAGGGGGGCAGGGGGCGGTGGACAGCGGCCCACGGCGGCAGCTCCCAGTACCCACCAGCACGGCCAGCTGCGTGTAGGCGGCGCCCAGCAGCAGCAGGCCCACGGCGGCCCCGGCCAGCTCGGGCAGGGCCCGGCGCAGCGTCTTGCCCAGGATGGACCACTGGCGCACGAAGCGCAGCTGCCGGGCGGCCTGCGGGCAGGGGGCGTCAGTGCTGCCCGGCCCCCCGGGCCCCCCAACCCCCAACCCCCGGCCCGGCGCTCACCTGGAGCAGCAGCAGGAAGAGCAGCGAGGCCGCCAGGCCGCGGGCAGCGGCGCCCAGCTGGGCCACCTGCTCGAAGCTGGTGAAGCGGCGCGGGCGGCCCCGCACCAGCAGCGCCCACTGGCGGTCCGCGGCGCCCAGCTGGGCCAGGCGCACCAGGGCGGCGGCCGCCGTCAGCGCCACCAGCAGCCACCTCGCCCAGGGCCCCGGCCGCGCCGCCCGCGCGCGTCCCTCCCTGCGCCACGCGTGGACCTCGGCCACGGAGAAGTAGAGCGCGAACAGCAGCAGGCACACCTGGGGGCGGGGCTCGTGAGGGCGGGGCCCGCGAGGGGCGGGGCCACGGGCAGGATCAGGGGTGGGCGGGGCCCGGGCGGGTGGGCGGGGCCCGGGCGGGTGGGCGGGGCCCCGGGCGGGTGGGCGGGGCCCGGGCGGGTGGGCGGGGCCTACCGAGGTGAGCAGCGGCAGCGACAGCCCCCCGCTGAGCCTGCGCAGCGCGAAGGGGCGGACACTGAGCGCGGCCAGGGCGCGGCCGGCGGCGGGGAACTCGAGGCGCAGGGTGACGGCGGCGTGCAGCCCCACGGCCGGGCTGTAGCGCGTGAGCTCCACGAACACGGCGCGGCTCCTGCACGGGGCGGGGGACGGGAGCGTCGGGGACGGGAGCGTCGGGGACGGGAGCGTCGGGGACGGGCGGGAGCCGGGCAGTCATGGCACGGGGGTCGTGGGGCCCGGGGGCGGGGGGCACCTGTCGTCCAGCCAGTTGTGCCGCCGCAGGAAGCGCAGACGCGCGCGGCTCTCCTCCAGGCTCAGGCCCAGCTCCTGCACGTAGCCCCCGCTGTCGTACACGGCGCAGTGGCCCCAGGACCAGGTGCTGGGAGGGGAGAGGGGCCGCGTGGAGCCGGGCCGCACGCCAGGGGCTCCCCCAGCGCGCCTCCCCCGGCCTGGCGCCCCGCTCACCCCGGCAGGTCAGGCGCCGAGTAGGCCCACGGGGCAGAGCCGTTGCGGGCCTCGCGGCCCCAGCCGACGCTGTAGTCGCCGGTGCTGAAGCTGCCCGAGGCCGAGCAGGCGCGCGGTCCTGCGCCGGGCACCTCCGGGCACAGCCCTGCAAGGCAGGCCCGGGCTGGGTCACCGCCCGCCTCGCCCGGGGCCACCCCGGCCCCCACAACCCAAGGCCCGCAGCGCCCCGCTCACCTTCCCGCAGCCGCACCTGCCGCAGGCGCGGGGGCCCCAGCTCCGGGCAGGACTGGTTCCCGTGCACCGAGGGGAGCAGCACGCGGGACATCCACGGCCAGAACTCCTCAGACCTGCCGGGCCAGGTGGTCAGACGCAGGCGCGGCCCGAGCCCATCGCCCTCCCGCGGGCCGCGCCTGGCTGGCCGGGGTGCGCGCACCGGGTGATGGCCAGGAAGGCCCTGCTGGCCAGCTCCTGCTTGAGGGCGCTCTGCAGGCGGTAGGCGTGGCCGTGCGAGGAGGCGTCCCCGTAGTTGGCCAGCAGCGTCACCAGCAGGAAAAGCAGGTACACCAGGAAGCTCTGGGGGACAGGGGTGCCCCGGGGTCAGCTCGGCCCCAGCCCTGGCAGGAGCGGGCGCCCCAAGGCCAGGGCACCGCAGGGCTCACCTTCAGCATGCCGTGCAGCCTCTTGACCTTGCGGGCCTCCTCCTTGGCCAGGAAAAGCGCAAAGCCATGGGGCGGGCGCACACGGGGCACGCGCTCGCCCACGGGCGTCACAGCCGGGCTTCCCACCAGGCTGTCATCCTCGTCGGGGTGCAGGCGCTTGGCCAGCAGTGAGAAGTACAGGGCTTCCAACAGGACCTGTGGTGGGGCAGGTAGCATGGGTGGGACTGGCCGCCCACCACCGGGAGCCCCCCGGGGAGCCACGCACCTTCAGGGGCTCCCAGCCCAGGAACGAGACCACGAAGCTGCAGCTACTCGACAGGAGCCACGAGACGCTCACGCTGGGGGGGAAACTGGTGCCGACCCACCCGGAGACCCCTACAGCCACGGCCACCAGGAACAGGCTGAGCCCGTGGGCCAGGGGGGCACACCAGGCCGGCAGCAGGCACTTCCGCGGCCCCTCCGCCGGGCCTGGAGACAGAGAAAGCTGTGATTGGCAGGTGAGGCCTGGGGAGGGAAGGGGGAGGGACGTCCCAGCACCCCCAAGCGCACCTGCCCTGCACAGGAGAGCCGCAGGGGCCGCTGGGGGTGCCTTGTCCAGCCTCTGCAGTGCCAGCACCTCCGTCTCCCTGGGGGCTCTGGACCTGAGGGGAACAGGAGCTCGGTGTCCTCCTGGGGACCTGCACTGAGGACTTGGGGTGCTGCCACCATGGTCTAGCGGGTACAGTGCTCACACCACTGCGCATGGCAGCCACCTCCAGACTGCTCTTCACACACGCCCACCACAGCTGGGGTCCCACCTTGCCACACGGAGGCCAGCGCTGACCTGCACACGGGACAGTGCAGATTCTCTGTGCCACCACTAAATGCCAGCATGCCTGGACAGGCGGGCATGGGGGCAGGGATGGCTCTGAGCCCTGAGCACACGCTGCCGGGGGCTGCGCTGGGCTGCGGGCTCTGGCCGCCGGGGAGCAAGTGTGTAGAGGCAGCGGCAGGAGAGCAGGCACCACACACTCACGTGATGCAGACTCGCTTTCCTCTGGGGTGAGGGAGAGAGGGCACCCGGGAGCAGGACTGCTGACCCACACCCAGCGGCCACTCTGCCCTCGCTGGAGCCGAGGAACAGCTGCTGGGAGGCGCTGGTGCTCAGCCAAGCACAAGCACGGGCCGCCGTCCGGGAAGGACGCCCTTGCAGAAGGGACGCAGACGGGTGGACAGCAGAGGCAGCCGCAGGACAGCCTCAGGGCAGAGCCACTGGGCCCCCAGCCAGCCTTCTGCACGGGCGCCATGGCCAGACGAGGGGACAAGGACGAAGTGTCATCACCAAGGGCCCTGTGGCTTCCGTCTGGCTCTTGAAGCACTAGCCGTGGCCCTGCACCTGCTGTCCTGGCACAGGCACCAGGCCCAGGGGGAGAGGTGAGCTCTGCACCTGGGAGGGAGGGGTGAAGTCTGCTGACTCAGACAGGTTCAAATAAGGCCGAAGGAGCCCGTGTGGTAGGCCTGAGGTGCCAGCATCCCATGTGGACG